TGCCAGTTCTTGAATCCGATATTGGCACCTTCAAGGTCGGTGAAAAGCTCTTGGGAGCTTCCACCGAATTGAGACGCTGGTGCTGGTGGTGTCTCTTCAACGCCCTCGTTTATTAGATGTCTGTTCATCAATTAGTCTTTGCTTATGTCTTAAAGCAATACCACTTCTATGCCTACCCATTGACAGCTGGCACAGTCTTGCCTAGATGTCTCTCTGCTTTCTTTACGTTCAAGCCGTCAACGTGACTGTAAATACTTCGAGCTTCTTCAACCGTTGGGATTCGCCCCCCCATCCAAATTGCACATCCAGAAAGCTCATCATATGAAGCGAATACAGGCCAATCTAGAGCATACTCAAGTGGCACTGGGCCGTAGACTGTTCTAACAGCTTTGTCTTCGAGATATGCCTTACTTAATCGAGGCGAAGCTGACCCATTTGTACTTCCGTTGCTATATCCATTTGAAGTACCGTTGGTGTAGCCGTTCGACTGTCGACTTTTAATCCAAGAAGCAGGGATCTTGCTTTTATGTGTTTGTTCCAGATAAAGAGCGTACTGTTGATAGTTAGGAACTGTGTCTCACAAACATTTCAGGCGTGGCTTGCCTCTTCATTGGTAATTGGTCGTCCTTTGGCTTCAAATGATTGAACCAAAACTTCTCTGGGAGGTTTCTCATTATCCCTGTGGTGCATTGTTATATTTACTTTGTGCTTGAATGGAGCTTGTTTAACATACCATCCAAAATGATTATCCGGTCCAGAATTATCCTCAGGGTCATTCAACCCGACTACGATTTTCTGTTCTGGAATGGTAAACCATTCATTTGGCACTCGCAATGCCTTGGCTTTTATTGCTTCTCCTTCAAAGTTTGGCCTAGCGCTAGTGGGTGGAATAGTCTTATCACTTTGCAGTAACATGTACAAAAGGGTTTCTAAATGCATAGCTTCATGCTCAAACCCCAACCAAAGTGCGCGACCAAGATTTCTGGGAAGTGCTTGGCTTGCATATAACTTCTTGACTTTTGATCTCACCTTTTCTTGATATGAGAGAATCTCCTCAAGTGGTGGCCACTCATCGGGAATCTCGGAATGAGAGTGACATTGCTCGGGATTGTCAACATCCGGATCGATTCCCCTTTCAAAAATTGCGGGATATGAAGAAGGCTCACAAAGCGGCTCTGTAGTAACTTTATTCAGTTGCATGTCCAAGAATGTCGGAATATGTCCCAAGTAGAAAATGCAAGCATTTCGAAGTTTAATTGGCTTCTCGACCAATTCTTCGTTTGGAATCATTTTTCTGGTGACAGTATCCCATACCGACCACAGACCTTTCCAATCCTCAAAAGTTGGGGCCGTAGACGAAGCATATACACCTGGATTCGAGTCGAATGTCATTGTGCTCTTTGTTAAGAGGTGCATATCTTCAAGTCTAAGTTAGAACAGTATTCAATGGGATACAGATAACAGTTGTCGTGTCATGGAAGCGCATTTTGCAATATCATGCCATGTTGATGTCAGTCCCCAGATAGGAAGTGAATAAGCATGCGCCACATATCCGCGATTGGGAGATAACCCCACGCCGATGGTTTCTGTGATCATAAGACCATGTACATTGACGTGGTTTTTGATGTCTACCTGCAAGATTGCTGATTCAAACCGGAGCTGGGAAAAACGAAAATGATACGAAAACTTACTATAATCATCTTTAGAAGCTGACCATTTCTGAGCTTCAATCATCCCAGCATCTTTCACTAGCTTGGCTGTTTCTTCAGGTGAGTATTTTAAACTGACCTCTATCTTCACACGTTCTCCTGCTTTTACAAGAACGTCTTTGATGACGATATCTCGATTTGGAGAATAAAAGGCCTGGTGACGACCTCCTTGTGTGTCGTATACATATTCTCCAATGACAGTCCAGTCTGCAATATCAAATACGTTTTCTCCGAGAATTTTGTTCGCTTGGATCAAGCCATTCAAGATAAACCTTTTGTAAGGAGTAAGCACATAACTGTTAATTGATCGCTATTGATTGCGAGTACATACTTGTGGGTGATCCCTTTCTTGTCTTATTATCAATATTAGCCGCAGGAAAGGTCTTGGAATTGAGTAGACACACCATTATAAGCATGGCTATAGCAAAATTAGCTAAAGACCACCTGAGTGATGATTTTATGGGACTTACTAGATTTTTTCTGGATTACTAGTCGCATCGATGGCAATGAGAAACATGTCCGAGGGGCTAAAAACTTCCGCAAAACTCTTCAAAAACGCTGATGCATCGTGCCTTTGAAAGTTGCCTGCGCGTGGTAAGTTGACTGTTGGTAATCAAAAATTGTAAAGACAAACCAATGCTCGATCCCATCGACACAACGCACTTTGGCCGGGAAGAGTTTTCAGGAAGTTTCAACCATGCGAGACCATCGTCATAAGTTCCATGAAGCCCATGACACTTCACGTATCTAAATTCCGGAACCTGCTCTAGAGTTCTCTCCAATTCTTTCAATGAAAGATCAAGCGCGTAGTAATCGACACATTTTCCCGCCGCATCTAAAGCTCGTAGCAATATACTCACCTTGCGCAAATTACTGTTGATTGTTAGTTCTAGAAGTTTCAAACTCCAACGAAAATTACAAACCCGCTTCCCAGCTCAACAACCATAGAGTTAGAAGGTATATTTGCAGCAATACTTTCTGCGGAACGCTCAAGAACATCTATCTCTGCGTTTGTAAGGTAGTATTCAGACAAATAAGTGATCTGACTCTATAAGTTAACATGGTTGACAGGTTTCCCAGGTAAACGAATACCAACATCTTCATATATTTGTAGACCCCGCTCATCATACAGGAGCAGGGTAGGCAGACTCTTGAGACCACTTTTTGGTCTTAAAGATGCCAATATCTCATCTTTCAACTCAATTTCGGCACCATCATGGCGGATGTCAATAATATTGAAATTCGAATTGTGATGTGATTTGGAATTAGCTCCCGTGACTTTTGTCACATGAGGAGACACGCTTGAGACATCCTCGACAGCACCGTTGGAAATGCTAGGAGTGAGAATAGCCATTCTGATAGAAGAGCTGAGATTGAGGGAGCTTGCAATATGTTATTGATGTATTGTCAATTTGTTCCGAGTTGGTTTAAACTTTGTATTTAAAGGAAGAGAGGTACTTAGGAGCAGTGTTAAGTAGATGTTTACTTGGGGAATTATGGAAGGGAGCTAATATAGTTTCCCAATCTCGCAGAAGCAAGCTAATAGCCGAGGAATTCTCATACTCATGTAAACTTACACAAAGATCTGACATACAGAACCTGTTACAAAGGGAACTAGTATAGATTAAAGGTTCGGCTTAAAAGACTGCAGGCAGGTCAGTGAATGGGGGTTCTCGCGGTTCTCGGGGTCAGTGTTAGTAAGAGTACTACATAGCATTCGAGAATCGAGCCATTCAACAATTTGCTTGGAAGCTCGTTCTTTCATTTTCTTTGTTGAATGGTAAGGATCAATCATATGCAGAATCCCCCCCACATCGAAAGTAAGGGGTGACCTCATATTACTAAACTTGCTCTTAACCCCGCGGTTTGATATGTTTTACTTAATTGATGCTACTAAAGCCACGGATGTGACTTGTGAACAATATGGGCCAGAGGGAGATGTGAGGGAAGGTGTCGGATAGAGAACAACGCAGGTGATGAAGTGTCTACTTAGTACTTAGATACGTATTTCGTCTACCGAGAAGGATGCTTCATTGTATAAAAAAAATCTCTCATCTGCAAAATCATAGGAATGTATGTTTGTACGGACACTCAATACAGCACCACGACATCGATCATGACTTCTCTTGGGATATCCGCCTATCCCGAGATGTAGTCTCAGTCCATTTGTAAGCCAGGCCGTCGCACAAACGCTACCTATCTTACACTCCAGTCTGTCAGGTACAGAGTGTAATGTAGCTCCAGCTTGTGATCACATGAATCAATCGGTGCAAATAATTTCAATTACAGTGCGATTGCATCGAGGCTTATTTGTACTAGACAGATGTAGCTAGCAGTTGATCGATTAGTCCACCAGCCGTTTAGTATTGTGCATTCGTATAGCCTATCTCGAAACTGTGCAGGTAAATAAATAGTCATGACCAGTTGATTTGATTTGTTTCCATAAACCGACCTGGAACTCTCCTGGAAATGAGGGGGGGAAGGACTGGTGACAAATTACCATGTGTAATCAGTGAGCATAGGGTATCCATATCATTCATCTGTTCGAATCTTGATCTGAATAATCCTGCACGTATCGAAGGATAACTGGGCCGAGTCTGCAATCATGTATAGCTTTTGATATTTGCTTGGATGTCATTCTAAGCATTTTCAGACTCCACTTCCGGGTGGTCAATACGCAGACGACACAAGGGTAGGGAATCATATTGCAGTGGGGAAAGAAGACTACTAGGTAGCTGTGGCAAGCTGACTTTATACTCGTATGTCCATGATAATAAGATCCTGACACAAGTCTGACTTTGAAGGAGCCTCATATTTGTAGAGCTGGTATACAAAAGCTATTCAGAAACCGTGGCTATCGAACCTGAGTACAAAAGATTGAGAGAATGATATTTCAAAACCGGTACATAGCTGATCTGATACAAGGGCTTCGGCAATTTATTGAGGGGTGAAGAGGGGTAGATGATCACTTGACACACGTCTAATAGATTTGAGAATCTGTTGATATTCAATTTGACATTAATTAGAAAGTTATATTCTGGAGAAGAAGCTTCATCATACTATCTACGATCCATCGTCGAAATCCGCCTTGAAATATAATATCACGTGACTGTGCCTAATCTTATCGGTAGTTGGTTGCTCCGTCCGTTTGTTTACTTTAACGATCTTTGCAAACAACGACGAAAGAACCAAATACCTATTGCAAAACACACCCAGGTACAAAAATTGAACATAACAACCTGCACTGTCAAGTTCCAATTTACAATAGAGATACGACCACCACATTACAAAATGTCTTACAATCCACGAATGAGCCTTGCTCCCAGCTCACAACAACAAAATCGAGGCAAAAAGAAGGAGGAAGAGAGTGATTCATTCATGCGCCTGGTAAGATGGCCATATCATGATTTCATTGAATTCCCACTGATCATAACAGCCCGACAAAGAAATTGCAGGATGTATCAGCGATATAGGTGTACCATTTACTGCAGCAGACCTGTTAAAGCCCAATCCGCTCCAAATTCAAATGATCTTCGAATGGTTTGCAGAGCTGCTCATGAACACGACTCGCGATACAGTTGATCCTGCTATGCGCGCAGCTTCCGAAGACGTGTGTGAAGACTATCCAGATATAGTTCCGGCAGAAACCAGGAATCTTATGGGTTTCTATGTTAGTTTACGCAAGTTGCTATTTGAGTGTGGCATTACGGATTTCTCGTTTCAAGATTTATACAAGCCAACACACGAACGTCTAGTAAAGATATTCTCTTACATCATCAACTTTGTACGATTCAGAGAAAGTCAAACACAGGTCATCGATGAACACTTCAACAAGGCCGAGACTACAAAGGTTCGAATCGAGACGCTATATATGGAAAACCAAGAGATGGAAAGCCGCTTGGATGAGTTAAAACGGAACCGCAGAGCAATGGAGGTCCATATTTCAGAAAAAGTTAAACGCAATGAAGAGCTGAAAAAGAGGCTCTTAGAATTGCGCCAAAGCCAAGACAAAATGGCACGACGATTTGAAGGACTCACTAAAAAGAAGAAGGAGATGACTGCTATTTTGGAGGAGAAAACTGCCGCGACTATCGAATTGAGACAAGAAAGCTCGAAGTTACAGCCATATGTATCTCAGTCACCAGCTGCCCTGCAAGCATCATTAACAGACTTGAGCAACGCACTAAATACAGACAAGTCGCAAATCGATACCTTGGATCGACGGGCCCGAGCCTTGCAGACTTCGACCGATACTTTCACAGTAGTCTCTGCAGATGTAGTTTCATGTACAAAACTTTTGGAAGAGATTTCGATCGAATTAGCCAAGGAGGAAGATGAAAATGTGAAAGTAGCGAGACAACGAGACGCACTTGGTGAAAGAGGAAACAATGTTCGTGAAGTGGAGAGAACCGAGGCTTTGCTACAGCGACAATTGTCGAAACATCTTGAACGAACAGAGAAATTGAGAGATGGTAGCAAAGCAAAGGCTATGAGTGCTAAAGAGAGGATGGAAGAACTGCGAGCCGTACACAGAAAGCTCACAGAAGAGAGAAACGAAAAAGGCAGGGAGATGGAGAGGAGGAAAGTAAGGATAGAGCAGACAGAAAAAAAGGTGCGCACATTAGAACTTCTGCTAATAGCCTGCAAATTCACTGACACAACACAGATGGCGGATTTGAAAGAAAACATCGAGAATGAAATACACAGTGCGCACGACGAGTTCTTGAAGATGGACTCTCATGTTAAGCTATACATCACGGAAATGGAGCAATCTATTTGATTTTGAGTAAAAGCTTTTGGATTTCATGTTGGACTAGCGATCATGACAGGCATGTTGATGAATTGGTATGAAAAGGTTGGGGGGCTGGTGGCGTTTGGGTATACCTATTGATATATGATGATAATGGCTTCCAGATAAATGTATTTCTTTCTCCGTTTATAGATCACCAAGTACGATGACTCCATTCTGCATTTCCGAAATCAAACCATCTTGCGAATATCCGACCAACCTCTATAGTTCTCCCACTCCAACCGCTATCTCCACCCTCTAACCCAGTGCGCCTCGCACTTCCATTGAGCATCGGAACATGTTCATCCCACCCCTTCCAGGTTCTGTTGTCTCGTCCCATGTTCCCATTTGATTCCAAGCCATTTCTGTCATTGTTTTGACCGCCAATGTCTTCATCGCCATCAACGTCCACTCCCATTGACTCACTCCTTTCTGTTATCCTCTCCATCTCTTCCAGACACACCACTACCCTCTTGTCCCTTCCACTACTTTCAACCAGGCCTGCCAAACTCTTACTTAACCCCTGCGCACTCCACTCACTCGTATCCCTATGTAAGTCTATCAATCCATATACAACAATCATCGCCCTTTTCCTACCCACCTTATCCCATTTTTGATCCGGTGGAGCTCCGATCTTTGAAGCTGTCTCTGGGCAAAGTACAGAGAGATGGGCGCGCAAATGAGAGATCGTGGGAATATAAATTAGAGATATATGACGTGAGAGGGAGATCTGGTGGAGAGTCTTGATGAGGAGTGAGTGAGAGGGCGTTTGAGGTTGCGCGGTGCTGATCGCTGGATTGGGAGGAGAGGAAGGTATGTCGATGGGTGATGGTGGTAATGATGGAGTGTTCGAGGTGACATCTGCGAGGAGGGACGAGATGAACGCCGCGCGAGGTTTGCAAATCAAGATAGTGGTAGGATAAGCACCATGCTTCAATATCCAAGTCAGGAGTTCGGAAGGAAGAGCCGGTGGTAGTGTGATATATGAGGGTGACATTTCGAGCGCAGTGTAGTTGTCGTTCTTTGATATTGGGCGCGATAATGATAATCCTTTCTAGAGAATTGAGCTACAATTAGTGCTGAATGTTAATAATCCATAGTAAAACATATTCTCCGACATCTGCACCACGAGAATTAAGTCATCACCAACAGATATATAGACAATAACAAGTGTTGATACAAAACAAAGAATTAATAATTCTTCAAGGTTGTCATTACCAAATGATGCAATCCCGCAAATATGCGGAGCCAGATCAATAATAATCGCTTATAGCCCCACCATTACAAGCTCCCATTGATCATGTTCCTCTGTAATCTCCTTACGTTGTTCATGAAATGGAATCCATATCTAGAATATCCAGCTTGCTGGAAAGTGGTACGAACTTTTCTTTTCCTGCTTCACTTCACCAAGACATAAATTTGCGACCATGTGGCACAATGACTTTATGCTAACAACGACAATAGCCAGGGAACTCACACTCGATGCCGCGCAATCTGCAAGGAGCTCTCGAGGAGCGGGGGCGCTGAAGACGTTGCCGCCCCAGCAAATCAAGAAGTTGTTGGATAGTAGACATGATAGGGAGGTCTTGGAGGGGTTGAGGAAGGTCATCTCTGTATGTTTCCCCGATTTCCTTGCGCATCTTTGCCAGGCCAACATGGGGCTTGAAAGTCGAGACATAAGCTCTAACAGAACTTGCAGATGATGTACCGTTCTCAGCCATGCCTCACGTTCTTCTCGTCCGTCGTAAAAAATGTCGCATCTCCGAATATCGAGATCAAAAAGCTGGTTTATATCTATCTCCTCAACCACGCGGAACAAGAACCGGACCTGGCCCTTCTCTCTATAAATACGATTCAAAAGTCTCTCTCTGATGGAAACCCACAAGTTAGAGCTCTTGCCCTCAAAACCATGTCTGGAATTCGTGTGCCTGTTATTAGTCAAATCGTGTCGTTAGCCATCAAGAAGGGGCTGGGGGATATGAGTCCCTACGTTAGAAAAGCAGCAGCTTTAGCTATCCCGAAGTGCTACAGATTGGATCCAAACACCCTCCCACAGCTACTAGATTACCTCTCGACTTTACTGGGCGACCGACAATACTACGTAGCAGGTGCAGCAGTAACCTCATTCCTAGAAATATGCCCGGAACGTCTTGACCTTATTCACAAACATTACAGGGGTCTCGTAAAGAAACTAGTTGATATGGACGAGTGGTCACAAATGGCCACTCTGCACTTGATGACTATCTACTCCCGAAAATCCTTCCCAAAACGCATTCGGCGCGTCCGCAAAGCCACCGCTAAAAGCAACGGAAATCAAGAGAATTTCTACGGTGATTCCGATGCTGAACAAGAAGAAGATACCGAAGAAACCAGCGAAATGGTACAGGTCCTTGATCCAGATCTCGAGCTTCTCCTCAAAAGTATCAAACCACTTCTTCAGTCCCGCAACTCTGGTGTCGTGGTAGCAGTATCCCGCTGCTATGTAGCTCTCGGAACACCAGACTATATAAATCACTGCATCGGTCCTCTTATCGCTCTTCTACGTGGCCCCTCTGATATCCAGCACATAGCCCTCTACAATATCGTCTCTGTATGTCTCATACGCCCCGAGGCATTCGTAAAATATGCCTCTCATTTCCTAGTCCGATCAACCGACCTACCGCAAGTATGGGAACTCAAACTCGAATTGCTCACCCTAATTTTCCCACATTGCGATTCCTATATCAAAAGTTTAATACTCAATGAGCTGGAGCATTTCTCCCGTGGCTCGGACCGGGAACTGGTGAGAGAATCAGTGAGGGCTATTGGTCGATGTGCACAAAGTGATTCTAGAACATCCGCAAGATGCTTACGTTTACTGCTGAAGCAAATTACAAGTCTAGATGGTAATCTAGTCGCGGAGTCACTTACTGTAATCAGGCATCTTATACAACAAGATCCAGCATCTCACACACATACCGTTATTCGCTTAGCTAAGAATCTAGACACAGCTACAAACCCGCGGGCCCGAGCGACTATTATTTGGCTTGTAGGAGAATTTGCCGGCATTGATGGGGAGAATAACATTGCACCTGATGTTCTTCGGATTTTGGCAAAGGGCTTTGCTGATGAAGCAGAGCCTGCAAAATTACAAATTGTTCTTCTAGCTGCTAAAGTCTATCTACATCATCTAAATCGGACTACGCCAGAACCAGAACCTATCAAACCTTTATCACCTCCCCAGACTTCCCACGATTATGCCGGCATTGAAGAAGGAAATGAAGGATTCGCATCCCTTGACTCACCTCCACAAACCTCTTTCTCTCCACCCCCCGAACCAGAATCTGAACCCGATCACCCCATAATCGTTCTCTGGAACTACATCCTTCTTCTTGCACGTTACGATACCTCATACGACCTCCGCGACCGTACCCGTCTCTACAAATCTCTCCTCGCGATTCCCTCATCCACTCAACTCGCATCTCTCATGCTTCTTGCACCTAAACCCATCCCCCACACACCCAGTCCCTCCGAAAGCCGCACTAGCTTCACTCTCGGAAGCGCCAGTCTCGTTGTTGGCGAAGAGGGCGGTATGCATGGACTAAAGGGCTATGAGGCACTACCTCCTTGGGTAGAAGCTGGCTCCGAGCCAGACCCTTCGTTACGAGAACCTGATTCTGCCCGAAATGAATATGAAGAGAAGAAAGTCATGACTGCAGGACAGATATTAGATAGTGCGGTGAAGGATTTCAGGCCCAGTGTTTCTCCATCCAAGACGAATGGATTCAATGCTGGTGGCTCTGGCTCTGGTACGGTTCCTGGAAAGGAAAAGACCCTTGATGACTGGCTAGCCGAGTCTGAGCAAGAAGAAAGCGAAGAGGAAGAAGAGGAAGAAGAAGACGAGGACGACGAAGAATCTGGAGAAACAGAAGAGTCTGGAGAGGAAGACTCTGATGAAGCAGAAGAGGAAGAAAGTAGTGATGACGATGATGAAGAACACGATAGATTAGTCAAATAATTGATATCCTGCCCCATGCGACTGGCTGCGCTACCTTCTGAAAATACAAACATGGCTGGGTGGAATGCCTTACACTAGGAGGCTTACTGTTACAACAAATCTTACATAGGCATGAAATACTTAGTCACAACAAAATTAGAGTAATACCAATGAATTTAAATCCAAAGATCATTGTTTGATAAAGAGCTAGGGACAAAAAGAAGCCCACTAGCATTACTATTAGCCAAAGCAAGTAGCTTGGCATCAAATACTACTGAATTATCCTGCTCTCCTACAAGACTTTTGAACCTGGCGTTCGCTCTGAACAGCAAGTAGTCTTGAGCAGAACGGATTCCCACTGAAGAGTCTCCAAATAGAATAAATTATCTAGGTTCATTCACTACATCGGCTCTTGTAATGCCATAAAATGCATTGATGCATGCGCAATGAGGATTGTACAGAAAACCATCAACTGAAAAGGCATTCCTGAACTCCATCTCAAAAACCTGAATAACGCCGCCCATGCATGAAATTTTTATTTGTACAAAGAATATAAACAGAGCCATGGTGGACAACCGACTACTTGAAGGTTTTCTAAATCCAAAAGGCTCTTCTGCAAACTATATGCGGTTTACCTGACCAAGACCAGCCATCAATTGTCGAGGGGTGATGATAGGGATTTAGCTACCAACGGCGACTGCGAAATGATATATTAGCATATGTAGACAATATCAAGCTTCAAATCTTACCCATAAGCTGCATCGACCACTGGTGGAGCTCTTTTGAGTTTTGGAGTGGCTTCCTCAGATAAACGCGACGATTCCTTGCTCTTCTTGCCACTGATTATTCGGACGATTTTTCGTGGTTTCGCAGGTTCCTTCTTTATTTCCGCAAGGATTTCTAATGAAGTGGGACTCAAAGGAGAATCCACCGCAGTATTTCCCTCATCGTCTTTCTTCCCATTTTCCTTATCATTGTCCGTGTGATCAGGGGGAGGTGGTGTTGTCGTAACATTGTGTTCTGGCCACGGGTCGAACATAGGCTCCTCTTCAATTGGTGGTGGTGGCGGGGGTATGTTTTGGTGATTGAAGCCTTGGGGTCCGGAATTTGAAGGGCGAGCATTAGCATAGCCTGGGTCTTGTCTAAATGGTTGACCTGCCATGGTAGGATTGAAAGGATGTCGCTGTGCATTATAAGGTTGTTGAGCGTTGTAAGGAGGCTGTTGAGGACTAAAAGGGTGCTGCTGGGCAACAAATGGAGGTTGTTGAGCATTGAAAGGACGTTGCTCGGTATTGAACGGTGGTTGTTGGTTGTATGAAGGCTGCTGGGCATTATAAGGAGTTTGGTGTGGATTGTAAGGAGGTTGTTGAGCATTGAAAGAAGGTTGATGGTTATATGGAGGCTGCTGCTGAGCATTAAAGGTAGGCTGTTGATTGTATGCAGGTTGGTGTTGAGAATTATATGGCGGTTGCTGAGCATTGAAAGAAGAATGTTGAGCATTGAAAGGGGGTTGCTGAGCATTGAAAGGGGGTTGCTGAGCATTGAAAGGGGGTTGCTGAGCATTGAAAGGGGGTTGCTGAGTATTGAAAGGAGGTTGCTGAGCATTGAAATGAGGTTGCTGAGCATTGAAAGGAGGTTGCTGAGTATACAAAGGCTGCTGCTGAGCATTGAAAATGGGTTGTTGGCTGTGTTGGGTGTTTTGAGAATTGTAGGGAGTCTGCTGATTTTCATAAAGAGGTTGCTGGGGACTGTAGATAGGCTGTTGGAGGTCCTCAATGGGAATCATGACTGGAGGTCCAGGCTCAACCGGTTTCGGAGCACCAGAAACACCCAAAGACGCCAGTAACGCCTCAGTTGGGTCGGCACTCTCTCCCGCCTGAGGAGCCCAGATATCGTCCGGCGCTTCAGGAAGAGGTGGGGAGTTGTTCGATGCATTATCACCACAGAATCTAGGCAAGCCATCCGCAGATTTGAATGACTGGTCATCAACCTTTTGACGTTTGTTGTTTTTCAGGGTAGAAATATCAGCTTGTAGTTGCTCATCGATATCATCTTGGTCCGTTGGGCTTGGCTTCCGCTTACCGGTGCGTGGTATGTTTGCAGCGGTGGCTTTTCGAGTTGTAATAGATACATGTGCGTCGCCATGTCTCGATATCATAAAAGCATCAAGTTCTTCAAAGGATACTGAATCATCTCCAGCGTTTAACTCCTGGAAAGTTGGATCTTCTTGTAAATATGGCCATTGAGGCGTCTTTCTGACGCTTTGTCTATACTCCTTCAAATTTTCTTTTCTTGCATACCTTGAAATTGAGATGGTTGATTTCTTGTCGATGAGAGGGACTGGAGTCATGTCAAATCTGTTGGCCAAAGGCTGGGCAAGTGCAACAGTTTCATGTCTTTCGCCTGCAGCTTGGAAGATCTTTTTGTAATCCCAATTGAACTGCTTTTCCTCATCAGTCCGGTGACTGTCCTCCTTTAAAACGGCTGGTTGGCCATCCCATTCAGATATGTTATCTCCTGAGCTGGGCGAGCCAAAGGGTGTACTCGCCACACTTGAGGCCCTTGAAGGTATTGGTACCTCGGCGGGTTGAGAAGAAGCTTTGGAAGGGGCGGTAAGTGTAGTGTTTTTGGATCGAGGGACGTACAGCCCGCGTTTATTCACCTCTGGGGACGCCATCGATGGATTCTGGGATGCCGCCCGACTTGTACTTTGCTGAGGCTGCTGAGATCCCACCCGGCTTTCCCCTTGCTGGGGCCATACTCGACCTTCACTTTGCTGAGATTGTTGTGATTGGGACCTCCTGAACTCACGATTATAGCCAGGATTTGATTGCAATTGTCCTTGCTGTTGTTGTGGTCCATTAGGAGGAGACACCACTGGCGGTGAACCAATCCATTGCCCATGATTGGGCGTGCCGTTGCTTTGATGAGGTACTGATGAACTTCGGCTATTGTAACCTTGATTGTAACCATTGTTTTGAGGCTGAAAGGGGGTGGCTGGGGCTGATGGGGGAGGATACTGTGGACCATTTTGGCTGTGGGTTGGTGGTCCATACTGTTGTGGTGAACTAGATTGGGGGTGTTGAATATACGGAGCTTGATAGCCTTGAGATCCATGTTGCTGTTGAGATGGATTATTGTAGTTCGCTCCATTGGCAACAGGTTGTTGATTAGGATACGCCTGTTGTGGAGGGCCCTGTTGCTGTGGATTTGGTGTGGAATGTTGCTGATACAGCGGACTCGGAGCAGATGGCATTGGGCCATTGAACTGAGAATTTTGACCAGGGTCCGTGAATTGCGACATTGGAGCACTTCCAGGGCCAGCATAGGGACCATACTTGGAACCCATCTGACCATTTTGAGCGTTCGCCCACTGTTTTGTTTGGGGTGGTGCACCATACCCATTAACATTTGTTGTCTGAGGAGCAACCATAGTACTTATCATTATTAGCCCAACTCTTGGCAAGAACAAAAGATACGAGAAGAAAGTATCAAGATATGGAAACAACTCATCACTCACGCTTGACCACTTTGATTTTGATTCGGACAATCCTTGACGTAATGCCCTTCTTGACCACACGTGAAGCATATTGGAAGACGAGGAGTCTTATTAGGTACAGGAGCATTGTAAGAATTGTTGTAGTTTTGAGGTGGGCCAGTGTAATTATTGTTGTAGTTATGTGGTGGTCCTTGAGGACCACCTTGAGACCAATTTCCCAACATAACGGACTCTCCTCTATACAAAAAGAATCCTATTTTACTATCAAATCATCAATCGGTCGGAGGATGAATTTGCGTGACACTGGGTTGAGCTTGAGTCGAGAAACCAAGTTGATGGAATACCGGTAACCTTTTGAGAGACAAAGTATGTATTCTGACGCGACAGAAAAGACGAGGAGCAATAGGAAGAAGTTGGCTATGCTTATTAATGAATTCTTGTTATCTTGGTCCTTGAGGTTGCGATAATGGAAAGCATCGATGACTTTGATGGATAGATAGAAAAAGGGTTTTCTTGTTCTTGTTGTCCGCGAAATTGAAATAGATGTTCAGAATGATGTGGTGCAACGGTACTGTGAAAAAAACATGGACCGTATTCAAGGATGAACTGTTGTCTGTATGTATGTAGCCCCCCGGACTCCCCAGTAAATAAAATCAAAAGGAAGTACTATTTAAGTACCTTGCTAGGGTCACTATTCCCAGCCCAACAAATCCACATGCAAAAGCGATTGAAAATGGAATGGATAGAGAAGAAGTGTAGCAAAAAAAACAAATACGATGACTTCTTTTTTCCTTTTCTTCCTTATACTTTGATCATGACTTGACTCGACCTGACCAAACGAATGTGTCTCGAGCTGAAGAGAAGCGAAGAAGAATGTTTACTTCCCAGAAGGACAGAGAGAGTGAGTAAGTAGGTGACTTTGACAATAGTTATTGTTCCCAGTTATAATATCAGCAATTGTGAATATGAATTGGGGTGCCCTTTTTCTTAGTCTCTGGTACTGCGAGTAAAGGTAGGGGAACAGAGAGAGAAGGGTTATGGTCGATATGGGGCAGGTATTATTGATTTATTGACGGATATTGGAGGAAATGCAAGAATTACAATATGTTGAAGTGAATATGGTAAATTGTGGTGGTAATTGTGATTGTGATGAAAATCAATGGATGCTAATATTTGATTGCACTTGGATGAAAATGCGAGTAGAGAGAGAGAGAGAGAGACACCAGAAACACCAGAAGAGATATTACCCTCCTCCGTAGTAAATTTCCTATGCAGCTAGGTACTATGTAGGTATTGACAAGGGTGCTTGATGGAAAGATCACGCTAATTTAAACGATTCATTCATTCCACTAGCTACGGTGAACCTTTGAGACGGAAAGCTCAATATTCATCCGACACCTTAAGGCCATTAAGGCCATTAAGGCTATCAAGGCCATCTTAAGGCACTCTCAGGCACCCATCTGGCACCACTACTCTCTAGCTACCAGAGGTCCGAATCAGTCAACGTACAAGGCCTACACGCAAATAGATACTAGGTAGGCACGGAAATGAACTAGGTACCTAGGTATATTCACAACCAACGTAATCTTGATAATCAACTTCATGTGTTGCCCGCCCGCTTCATATATTTGTTGATAAGTAGCAATCTTTTTATTTCTTTCTTTACCCACCAACCCACGATTTTATCTTTGCTTATGACTTGAATACTTTCTTAAGCGACCATGTTGCTTTGCCAAAATACTATTCTCCAGAAAATCACAGGTGGTATCAACTGTCATCCTTCAATATTAGATTCCAGTGGCGCAAATCGGAGGTGATTAACTCCTGCACCCTTTTGCAATATGCCCGGTCTGCCATGTAAGAATACCACGAAACCTTCTGAACTGACAAGAGGCCTTGCTTATATGTATCCACAGCTTCCGTCGATCTCGACCAATGTATAGAAAGTCTCTATAAGAAAAATCTCCTCGCCGAATCTGTTATTGAAGCAATATGCGCGAAAACGAAGGAACTGCTTATGCAAGAGAGTAATGTGGTTCATGTGTTGGCACCTGTTACTGTAGTGGGAGATATCCACGGCCAATTCTTCGATCTGATAGAGATATTCAAGATTGGGGGCTTCTGTCCAGATACAAACTACTTGTTTCTAGGTATGCCCCGCATTCTGACTCCGCACACATTTCCCCAATGCTAACACATGATCTTTCTCTAGGGGATTATGTGGATAGAGGCATGTTCAGCGTCGAAACGATTTCTCTTCTTGTTTGTCTTAAGCTACGATACCCACATCGCGTTCATTTAATACGAGGAAATCATGAGTCGAGGGGAGTCACTCAGTCGTATGGCTTCTATACGGAGTGCTCCAGAAAATATGGGAATGCAAATGTATGGCATCATTTCACGGATATGTTCGACTTCCTTACATTGAGTGTGGTCATCAATGATCAAATATTTTGTGTTCATGGAGGTATGCTCCCCGCAAAAATGCTACCTGGCTTTCCTTGGCCTGGAAGTCTTCACATATTGACATTCATCTGCAGGTCTCTCTCCTTCAATACACTCTATCGACCAAATAAAAATCATAGACCGTTTCCGCGAAATCCCTCACGAAGGGCCTATGGCCGACTTAGTCTGGTCCGACCCCGATCCCGAGCGCGACGAATTCTCTCTCTCACCCCGCGGTGCGGGTTACACGTTCGGCGCGCAAGTTGTGAAGAAATTCCTCGAAGTGAATAAGATGTCGCACATCTTGCGAGCCCATCAACTTTGCCAAGAAGGCTACCAGGTTCTCTACGACGATCGATTGAGTACTGTGTGGAGTGCGCCCAACTACTGCTACCGATGCGGGAATATGGCAAGTGTCCTAGAAGTCAGCGACACTGGGGAGAGGTTCTTCAACGTATTTGCTGCCGCGCCGGAAAATGATACACACAAGGGGGAAATGCAGCAAGCGGGGCAGGACAAGACGGCTGATGGTAATACGCTGCCAGATTACTTTTTGTGATTCGAAAAGAAAGCCGGCATGTAGACACTAGATCTCATTCTTTCGACACGCTACTCCTTAATCAACAATCACTCCCGCCATTCGACATCATGGAGGCAATTGTCAAAGAATATATCCGGGACAGCTGAGACAGGTTTCGAGATCCCGCTGTGCGCCAGATGAAGCAATGTCCTTTTCATTGTACACAAGACACTACACTCCAAAATAACTGGATTGTAGTCATGATATGATATATGTCATTTCACACCTACGAATTGCGTTTTTGTAAATCAAAATTCCATAGAAATACGAGAAGATACCCATGAATGGATGCAAGGGCAGGACCAGTCATGTAACATGATTTTCTCCGTCCATTTAAACACACTAGATACGAAATACAATGAGATACGAAGTTCTATACTTGAGGAAAAGTGAATGAGTCTTTTGAATTTAAAATAATGTATGCGCGCCTGCAGGGAAAGAATGCCTCCAAACAACCACAGTATGCTTAGGTACTTTCTCAACTTCACATCTCGTTCGTTCGTTCAATCCAGATCATGCGCATGATATGACCAAACATCTTCGTTTCATAACTCATCCGATCATCCGTCCATAACTTGTCTCATTATCCACCCATAACTTTTTTCTGTCCAAAATATAAATTTGCAAGGGAAAACAAGTAGGGAAGAAAACGATCGACTATTCTCCTAGCCACAACACAAAAGCAAAATCGCCCAAAAGGTAGCCGTCCAAATTACATGCGCGCAAAGGTATGTCGAAAACTTGTCATGTGAGTGCTATGCTACGTCAAGAATGGGATCGGTGTCAAAAGAGGCGATTGCGATATGTTAGGCGAAAAGCAGAAGATCAAAAGTGAAGCAGATAGGAATATCTACCAGTCCTTGGCGATATCGAAAGACCACTCGAATTCAAGATGCTTCTTCTTGTCGTCATCGACGAAAGTAGAGATTGCGGTGTAGTGACCTCGAGCCATCATTCCACTTGGGGCATCCTCGTCGGCGACTAGAGTGTTTGGTTAGTTTAAAGAACTTGGAATAGGTCTAATATGAACATACATCGCTTGGTGTGAACGGGGTTCTTGTCAGTGTTGGGTGCGTAACTTCCCTATTGGAGAGTCAGTTTGTGAAACATAGTGTAGATATTGACATGCGCGGAAGCACTTACAATCATCTCTTGCAATTTGTCGATTCTGATACCCTTGCGCTTGATGACTTGAACATATTGGAGACCGCTCAAAACGTTGTGTTGTACTTTAAAGGTAGCAGTAAGGTTGAACTTAGAACCTTCCTTAATCTTGAATGGATGATCCTTCAAGGTCTTGAGAGCATCAGGTGTAGAAAGCTCAAGCTTGACTGGAGGGCGACCCTCAGAGTTCATCTCAAGAGTGAGAATAATGCAGTCACGTGGGTCTGTTGGGTCACTAAGGTCCTGTCCACCACCGCCAAGTCCAAGGGATTCCTTGTAGCGTTGAAGAGACTCATCTTCGGCATCTGCATTGAAATATAAAGTCAGTAAACCCTAGATGACTATGGTGTATATTACGGGATGAGCCATTAAAAAAGCAATGGGGTTCTGCTTGCACAGTGGATTGTATGTAGATAAGGGACGTGGTAATATATTATCTCAATATATGTACTTCCTTCAAACTTGAGGTCATTTGATGAACTGTAATCGAGCGGAAGGGGAAGCTTCTAGCCATTGTCCTGATAGAATTGAGAGAGCTATGAAAATAGAGTGTTTTTGTACCCCCATAGTCGATGTGGCAACTCAAAGGCACTTGCAACAATTTTTGGACAAACTATTGCACATAATTGAGTTTCCATGATCAGATAGACTCCAGATTTCGAAAGAAATGTTACTTCCAATGAGATCTCCTTCTATCATCTCACATAAGTATCTCCAGACCGCTTCGACTGCGGGGTATAGCTGGAAGGGATAGGCTTGACTCCAACTAGGTCAAGAACGTTCCCAGAAGCATTTGCTAAGCAGAACAGAAGCTGAAGATCATCGCAGGATCTGAATAGCGACAAAGAAGACAGGATAAAAGGGGTCTCAAAACGTACCCATCTTGGAATACTCATCCAAAGTCTTTTTCTCCCCCACCTTGAATCCATCAGTTGTCTCGGGCAAGAGCTCGTTTTCTTGTTGGTCCGCCATCTTCGATATGTTGTAGTAGATTTATGAGGGTAGTAAGTGTAGCTTGCAAGAATGGATAAGAAAAGGAAGATCTGTAGGGAGAAGTCCAAACACAGAAATTTAAAAGCTGTTGAGTTTGTGGATGCTGCACTTTTGATACAGCAGCGTTGGCAATCGAGATGCAGCTTAGTGGGGCTTGAGCTATGATCCTTGCTAACCCACGGAGGTACAGTGGCATGCAAGAATCTCGTGACAATGAGGATATGTTTCTTTCGAGATTGTTGCGTGAAAGGAAGAGGAGGATTGGAGATGTCTTTGGAACGAAATAGATGGGAGACAGTAGTATTTATTGGTTAGTGACAGTTTCCAGGTAAATACAACAAGTACGGTGAAATCATGTCATGTGACATCTTAACATTCGTGATAAAAGGGGCATCCCCGTCCAATCAATCCATCAGCCGTAGATACTGGACTGGTTCCAGAAGCTTTCCCCCCGTCCCCAGTGTCTCCTTTTCCATGGTTGACGTTCAAGCCAGATAGATACTAGGTAGCTCTACCTTGGTATGATAATAACAAGTCAAGAGAACCATATACTGGTTGGTTGTCATCGGAGTGCCTATCTAATACCAATATCTAGGTAGCTGGAACTGTGATACGTCCCAGTCAAATTGCAGCAAAGGAACACTACATACCTAGTACATATTCCCTACTAGATAGGCACGGTAGCTCGAGAGTAATAAGTAAGTCATCAGTAGAAAGCATTTTATTCTTCGTACTTGTGTAGATTTATTCCATATATCATCATTATTCTGTCCAACTCACCGTGCATCTGGGTGTAGTGAATTGTAAATGTACACAGTACATATATACCTAGGTACGTAGACAGCTGATGTCTGTCATCTGGAAGACCACAAATGGCAAATGGAAGAAAGGATGAATGTTGCAACGTACATACTACATACTACATACTACATACACCGTACATCCACCCTCCCACCGTACATACATATATACATACATATATACATGCTCGTACATATAAATCACTGATCATTCCTCCCCTCCCCACCCCAGCAAAATCCACTTTGCATGGCCAGAGATTCAGAGAACCACCAATCCTCTTGTCAAGACTCAAAAACGTCCCAAAGCCCTCAGGGATCGCAGAATCTCCCACACTGAACTTTGTATTCTTTTTACTTTTATACCACCGCCTCCCTCCACTTACAATTAATCCTTGATCATAATTCATCCATTCACGTCTGCATTCACAATCACAAATTCATCATCTTGCATTGCTTCCTGCTCGTTGTTGAATTCAAATCAGTCTGGGGTTACTCCGATTTAAGGCGCACATTTTACATCGCCTACTTATTAGGTACTAGGTATATGTACTGCGATTTTTGGCGGGCATCTCCCAATCAATTTTCTTCGATAACCTTTCTTTCCTTCCGTCCCGTCGCGAACAAGATCAAAGCTTCTTCTTCACACCGGATCCTCCTTCCTTCAACGCCCAACGCGCAGCATCTACATCAAGAAGGCGTTGATCGTGTTAAGTGTTTTGCATGTACGTTCCCTCTTTTTATGCTCCCCTTGTTGTATCACTTTGAATCAAAAGATCAACAAAAATGTTTGCTAATCGCGTAACCACGAAACAGAATTACAGTTCCTCCGAAATCTTCTTAACGAAACCTTTAGATTTATTCAATCTAATATTCCATCCGACAATCCCCTATCCGCATCCTTTCTAGCGTGTTATCATTGAGCCAGTTACTATCGCAATGCCTGCCTCGCGACACTTACCCGCAAAGGTCAATCCTTTGATGACCTCGGAAATTCCAGCTTGTAAGGCGATGCGCCAGTCGCGTACGTGGTTGAGGACCAGAGCTAACAATTTTCGCAGATGAAACCTTGGTCGCCAGAAGAAGATTGGGGCAGACAGATCTTGCTGTGAAGACTGGTCAGCTCAACAAGTCCAACTCCACCCAGCCCAAGAACTTGGGAACTTTCGATTATGCACACTTACGTGCTCCGCTGCCCAAAGGCATCCACAGCGGCATTTTCAAACCTTCGCCCGCCTCGTATTTCTTGATGCGCCGTAGCAACGATGGCTTCATCAGTGCGACCGGGATGTTCAAGGCTACCTTTCCCTACTCGGAGACTGCAGAAGAGGAGATGGAACGCCGGTATATCAAGAGCCTGCCAACAACCTCTGTAGATGAGACCGCAGGGAATGTTTGGATCCCACCCCATCATGCGCTTGAGCTTGCAGAGGAATACCAGATCTTGCCTTGGATCAAAGCTCTGCTTGACAATGCGCCAATTGAAGTCAACCCGACTAAAGACCAGACGCCCAAGTCAATTGCGCCCCCTCCAAAGTTTGACTTTGGAGATGTCGCTCCAATTCCCGCACCAAAGCTACAATTAGATGAGGCCCCTCAAATCTCTCCCCCTGAGGCGCTAGCTGCTCCAACTACTAAGAGTGGCCGTCCCCGTCGATCCGCATCACCCAGCAAGTATGCTACTTCATCTCCGCGCAAGATCGCAAGGGCACGCAAACCAAGTGCTAGACTAGCAAGTTTGGAACCTGTTGCAGCTGCTACTAAGAATGTACTCGAACAAGTCCTGGAAAACGAAGTAGTTGAGGCCGAGGGGAAAGGAGATTCTACAGACTCCACAGCTTCCCAAACAGTTCAGGAGCAAGTCGAGGAGCAGGCTAAGGAAGTTCAGGAAGTTAAGGAAGTTAAGGCGCAAATTGAGGAACCAATCACGGAGGAATCAAGTGAAGAACTCACGGAGCCAAAGGTCAGAGTCAAGGTTGATACTGATGTTGAAGTTAATGGCGACATCGAGACCACTCACACTCATGTTCAGGTTGAGATGCCAGCTGGTACTCCAGACCTCCCTCTCCCAGAGGATACGGAGGCTATGATTGCTAAGGCGAAAGAAATGGTGGAGGCTGCTGTCAAGCAAGACGCCGGAATTCCAACTCGCTCAAAGAGAAAGGTGGAAGAGTATGAGGATGATGACGAAGAGGAAGAAGCTTCGGATGTGGGCCCAGCCAAGAAGGTTAAGGTAGCGGCCGACTTGAAGAAGGAGAGAGTTAAGACCCGGGCTTTGATTGGTCTGAGTGCAACTTTGGCAATTGGGTGAGCCCCCCCTCTCCACTTCATTAATATTATACTTGGTGTGACGCAGTACTAACATAAATCGCAGTGCAATGATTCCATATGTATTTGGCGCATTTTAAAGTGATCACGCTGGACATGGGTTGTATATTGTTATGTTTTCTATTTCATCTCCTGTTTATTAGTCGAGGGGCGTTCATGGCAGGGACACTGGATTTTCGGATGACCTTGAAGACCTGTGGAAACTTTTGCTGGATTCCTACCAAGTAAAAAGAATATTTTTCAAAGTAGATATTACAGCACTAGAAGCCACGACGACTTTTTGGGAGTAAACGCGGTGTCGTTTCTTCCTCATACCATCATTGTGTTCTGATAGGCAAAATCAATTTAATTTGACCATGGGTTTCAATCAGTTCTTGAGATTCATATAATGCTGGGTAGGTGGGTGCTGGTTCGTTCCTTCTCAATTGGTGAAAAGGAAAGAAAGGTTCTAATTGGGAAGTACCACCATCGTGCCTCCCCTAGGTGCTAGGTGGGTGCATTTTTTTCTCGCGATCTTTGAATTCTTCTTTCTTAAATTTTGAACACTCTTCCTAATTATTACATTCTTCTATCTCCTTCTTCACTATATCCAAGATGTAAAAATATGATCATAATTATACTCGCCATCATTTCTGCCTACAGTGAGGATTAATCATCAAAAGATTCTTTCATATGACCACACTCTTGCCATGGCACAACCAGAAACACCTGCAAGCGCATCGCGAAATTCTATCATTTCACCTCTTGCAGGAGGTATGACCACTGCTCAATTGGAGCAAGTGTTACAGAGAACTCCTCAAATGACTAGATTCAATCCTTTGAGAAGACATCTTCGGGCGCCTAAAACTCCCAATTCTCGTATTTCCAAAAGTGAAATCATCGCTAGTGAAGACGAAGCAGCGACCACATCACCGCCAGCCCCGATCGTGCAACCACCGGAATCTCTAACTGGCGAGGCTATAGGAGATAAAGGCAAAGAAGGATCTGTTGCTACCGGAGGGGATAATGTTGATCAAGGGACTTCAAAATCTATTGATACTCTGCGTCCGTCCTCCCACGAGAATATTTCTCATTCAAAGCAACTATGTGAACCATTACCCAAGAGGTTTTTGAGAACAATCGCGAAGCGCAAAAAGTTCCGGAGGGAGCAACGTATCGCATCCAAACTCGCTACTTCACTCCTTGCCGAAGAGCCATCGAGCACATCGTCCCAGGGAAAGAAAGACGATGAAAAAGCAGCCTTATCTCGCAATGGATCTGGTAGCCCGGTCGAATCAAATACGCTGTTCGAAAATCCTGACCCTCTGAACGATGAAACATCCGATGGCAGTCAAGAATCTACCAGTCTTGAAGAACTCATTCGAACAACTTCACGCACACACAATTCACAGCCTTCAAGTGATCCTGAGGTCAGGGACATCAGTTTTTCATTTGGTGCTCCGCGGCTGGTTCGAAACGCAATTATGGGCTCACACAAAAGGGACACTAACAATAATAATCTCGATGACCTTGAGATCGATATTCTTGGATTGTCTCATGCTACTCATTCATCTGATTGTACGCCTGACCCTAGCGGCTCAGAGGATGCCCCCATTGACCATACATCTCGAAAGGGTGGTCGTCCAAGCCCAAAGAAACAGCAGAAGAAAAGGGTGAATAAGAGATCTCGAAGAGTTCCAGTGCACGAGTTGCACTTAGTGTCTGAGAGAGTGGCGGAATTTAGTCAGGAGACAGATGATGAGAATGGTATGGCTAAGTTCCACCAAGTTTGTGGTACAATATTGATCAGAGTATAGTGGAGCCTTCAAATGAAATCCTAGATGACCCAATCTCTCAAGACTCTTCCGATGCCCTAAAGATTATACAGAGTGTTGGGCGGACAAAGGGCGAGAAAAAGGGTTTTCAGACATACCATGGCGCCTTTGGAAAGATTGATAACAAAGCCTTTCGGTTCCCAGATCGTTACCACACATCTCCTCGGGCAGAATCAAGCAATCGCCGTGAGTTGAGCTCGTCTCATTCTGATGGTTTCGTGGGAGCTGAAGCAAATCCGACTGGCAGATGTATGCTGCTACCCAAGAAAAAAAGTGCTTGCATAAATATATGGGGACTGACTGCCCAAGTAGCACAATTAGAGTTGGTTCGCGAAAAGGCCCACGAGCCAGTCGATGAGCTAAACGCCCAAGCTGAAAGAAGAGTTCCAGCGGAAAAAACCAAGAGGCGTCTAAAGAAGAAAGCTACACTCAGTGCGTCGGTAATGATCGAACTCGAGTCTCAAGCAAAAAAAACGGGGGAAAGTCCACAAGATGACCAGGATAGCCAAAGTCGTGAAGACCGTGATGCCAATCAAGATGATCAACCAATTCATGGGCATCTTTCTGGCGATGGACTGATTTCGGTCGCAGAAGTTAAATCCCCGCTGCCGCCCACTAGGAAAGGGTCTCGAAGAGTCACCTTTGATGAAAAAGTCGAGATTGACCGGCGTGTTAGAATACCTTCTTCAGACTGTGAGAATCTTGACGATTGTTTCGAGGTTAGGAGAAGAAAAAAATCTTCTGATTCTGCAGTTTGGCTCAATATGGAGACGGTCCGCTTGAAAAGGTGCCACGACGAAGATAGCGAGGAAGATAGTGAGGATGATGTGCTATCTATCAATGAATCGGAACGAAGTGTCATCAGTATCGCAAGTGATAATGATGAGATGGAAGAAAGCGACGGATCTGGTTACGACAGTGATGAAGAGATGGGCGACGAAGAAGAAGACGAAGCTGAAGACCAAAATGAAAATGAACATGAGAACGAGGAAGAGAGTGGAGAATGCTTCGATGTGCTAGGAGTCCATGGAAAACAATCAGATGAATCAATTGACGGAATTATCCTCTCCATTGAAGACGAATCGCGCGAAGAAAATCAACAGGGCAACGGAAAGGATGACGACAGAGATGACTTTTATGCTTCTGAAAAAGATGCAATTCTCAACAATCCAGTGGGTGGAGAAGAAGAAATCACCGGGGTGTTTGTCTCAGAAGGCTTGGTTAGCAACAAGGAAATTTCTCCGATTGACGAATTGATAGTGCAAGAATCACAAACGACAAGAACTGAAGATAACAAGAACAGCCAGGCATCACAGCTATCAATTACCATGAGTTTGCAAACTACCACACAAGCATTAAAGTTACCAGAAGCCGGTGGTTGGAGAATTCGAAAGCCAAAGCCAAGCGATGTTATGAACGAGACGCAAGAGGACATCTTTGATAGTTCAAGCCCGATTTCAACAATCATCAAAAGGAAGTCGACCGGTCTGCATACGCGTAGACGGACAATATTTCGGAGTAGACCTCTAACCCTTACTGTTGATAGACCTTCTACGCCACCTAGCCCTGAAATTCCAGAGACTCAAATTGCGACACCTCAGATACCAGAAGCACGATTGATTGCAGTTCGCGATATTTCTCCTGAGCTTGGGGAACCGCAACCATCCAATACACCTGGTGAGTTCGACAGATTCATACTGGACGCACCGCCTCCCACCAGCCATGGGCAGTCGCTTCATTCTTCTCAACTTTCATTCATACCAGATGAGATTCCGGACGAAACTTACTTTTGTCGAGCTTCTCAGGTACTGGAAGAACATAAAACACCTATGTCTAGAAGCAAGTCAACCCCAGGTCGCTTCTATATCGATCACTTCAAGAGCATTGCGAATCCCACTCATGCCCAGCCAAACACCGAGACTACGGGGAGCGAGGCATCTACTCCGAGAATGTCGCCCAAGTTCTCACAACAGTCGTACCGACCCACGCCTAGGTCAGAAAAAAGCTTAAGTCGTCTTACGCGACAGGCCAGTTCTGCTTTAGGGACTTTGCCAGGCTCTGCTAGAAAGAGAACAAAAACTTTACCATTCAAACCGCCATTCAAAAAGCCAATCTTGAAGATTTAGCTACACCTAATTCGTTGAGCTAAGGATGAGTTTATGGAGGGACGAAGAGATATTCTCTGAGATTGAACACCTAATTATCTGCCATTTAGGTGAGAATATCGTTGTGCTATGAGCACAAACATGGACCATTCGAGATTTGCATAGAGACTGAGCTATTGGCAGTAACAGAAGATAGAGAGGGGCATTTCGCAGAAATATTCAAGGGGCTGATATTCACAATATTCTATTCATAACATGTATATCTGGGCTTTATATGTCTCTCATTGTAGCTTTCTATATCTAAACATTCTTACCAACACAACGCTGCTTCTCTCACTCGGTGTTTTCGATTGATCGGCCATCTCTCAATAATGTTGTGCTTCTAGGTACAGGACGAGATACCAGACGAGATGTAAGCTTGTACATCGCTTAGAAGCTACCAATTCCCAACTCCTTTTCTCAACCATGTCGCTAGGAGGGTCAGTCTTTCTTTACTTGTGCGGCAGTGGTAGAATCTTCAGATTTGGCGAGAGTGTGTCGTTAAGATGTACAAAGCAGATTAGACGACAAAGTAATAATTTGACCGTCCATTTCTCAATGGTTGCAGTTCTCCATCTGTTGAATCTTGAAACTTCTTATTCATTTTCTGTACCAGAACGCCTTGCTAAATGAACAATTTGGCTAGTACAGTACCTTTCCAGTAGTAGACGGCATTAAATCTAAATTACTTCGCACCTTTTCCCTTCGCTTCGTTCTCGCCTAGCTCCCTTATATACACCTTTGTCAATCCTTCTCCACTATAGTCTTCCTGTCCATTCTCGAATCCTGGACATACGCCCACAGCTAAATATTTTCCATCGCTTGAAAATGAGAGAGCGGCTACACTCGTTGGGTATTTCTGATATTGTCTAATTCTTCTTTTTGCAACGGCATCCCACAGTGCAACGACTCCATCTCCGCCACCAGATGCAAATGTACCGTGCGTGGGGTGGAATGCGAGGGCATTGACTGGATATACGATATCTGTTCCGTCGCCTGCAGCATCGGGTTGGCGATGGCATTTGAAAGCGTATTTACGGGCTTGGGATTCGGTGGATGGATCGAACCATTCAACGGCGACACGGCCTTCGATTGAGGAAGAGGCATAGCCGTCATCGTTGGGCATGCAGGCTACAGCGCGAGTCATGAATTTGAGAGAGGATTCGCGTTGTTGCCAGGGTTCTTGGGATGGGTCGGTAGAGAGGGGGAGGGAATAGATGTAGAGAAGTCGGGAGGACATGGCGACTACGAGTTTTGTAGCTGTGAGGGAGAGAGAATGCGGTTTAGAAGGAAGAGGAATTGTCATTGGGGATTGCGAGGGGTCGGAAAGGTTGTGAATGTGAAGTGTTTTATCCCACGAAGCGGATATGAGGAGAGCTAGGAGGTCGTATTAGTACTCTGTAACAATTGACATATGCGATGGCGGAGAGACTCACAATGCTCTTTACTATACACCACCGACTTGACTGGCGCCTCATGGGTACTCAACACTGTGTGTTCTCCGCTCTCCAAATCAATCCTATCCCACATTAGCATCCCAAGCCCAACTCAATTGTCCCAATGATCAAACGCACCTTTTCACCTGCCAATCCATACCAGCCGAAAACGCCTCACTCTCATCCTTCCCAAAACAAACATCTAGCACCGGCGCCCGATGTTCGTAAGTTCTCATCAGCTGCCCCCCTTCGGAAACATTTTCCGTGTTGTATAGATAGACCTTTTTATCCCAGGACGAAACAAGTAATCTGGTAGGGGTATAAGGCGAGTATTGTAGGGAAGAGACTGCGTCAGTAGGTGGCTCAGAGAGCTCAAATTGTACTGCTAAAGAGCTATATTAGTATGCTTGCTTGAGCTTGGAGTGATGTAGAGCTTGCGTACCTGGCGCCATGATTTTGTAATAAGATAGAAATAACACCGAGGGCAGAGCTGAATTCTTTGCGCACAGGAATATAGAGTCTGTAACAAGGAGCTTCTCAAATGAGTGATTCGTCAAAGATAATTCAATTCAAGTGTAACCAGGTTCCAGTGAAATATTTAGATTGATCTCGAAGCCGCGTTTCTGTAGAAGGCTTAGCTCAGGTATTCTGCCACACTCACCGCTAAGATGTTTGTCAGCCTTGCATTAAGCCTTTCAACTTTTGCCAAATGTGCCCCTCTCCATACTCAACAACCGTTCTTTCAAGCTTTCCAAATTGCATTAAAAATAATACTCCTCTCAAAGTCTCAAAGCTGAGAGTTTGGACAGACGTGCAACAAAACTTTTGAAAGGTTCTAAGGGTGAGCTAATATTGGTAGTGGGCTACAACTGCGACCTTTGCACCACTTTCTCCGGCATTTGCAAACACATTTGAGCGCGAATATCTGACATTTCGTGTATTCGAGAGCGAATCTGGAGGAGAGATTATTACCATCTAGCACCACAAGAAAAAGAAGCAGATTTCTTCTCGTACCTCTCACTCACGAATCACTTCTCGATTTCTCAGTACGACCATATACACAATATGCCTTTCGCACAACTCGTCCTCGGTTCTCCTGGCGCTGGGAAATCTACATATTGTAATGGCATGCAGCAATTCATGTCTGCGATAGGAAGAAAATGTTCCATCGTGAATCTCGACCCCGCCAATGATCACACAAGCTATCCCTGCGCCATCGACGTGCGCAATTTCATAAAGCTAGAGGACATCATGGAGGAAGATTCATTAGGTCCCAATGGTGGCGTACTATATGCACTTGAGGAACTAGAAAATAACATGGAGTGGTTGGAGGAAGGATTGGCAGAACTGGGCGAGGATTATGTACTGTTTGATTGTCCAGGTCAGGTCGAGCTCTATACACATCATTCGTCTTTACGAAACATATTTTTTAAGTTACAGAAATTAGGATATAGAGTACGTTGTTTCAATTCTTTATTGAAAGTCTACTTTCAAAAACCAGTATGCTGACATTTGTGCAGCTTGTAGTTCTCCATCTTTCCGATTCGTATTGCTTGACTTTGCCTTCATTATACATCTCCAATCTGATCCTCTCGCTGCGAGCAATGCTTCAAATGGATTTACCACATCTGAATGTTTTGACGAAAATGGACAAATTGGCTTCGTATCCACCACTACCTTTCAACTTAGATTTCTACACTGAAGTCCAAGACCTTTCACACTTACTTCCCAGCCTTCAGGAGGAATCTTCGTTGATGAAGGGTTCAAAGTTCGAGGGTCTGAATAAAGCGATCATTCAACTAGTCGAGGATTTCGGGTTGGTAGGATTCGAAACCCTAGCCGTGGAAGATAAGAGAAGTATGATGCATCTACTTCAAGTCATAGATCGTGCCGGAGGGTATGCTTTTGGTGGTGCGGAGGGTGCGAACGATACTGTATGGCAAGTAGCTATGAGAGAGGGTACTACAACGATGGATATAAAGGATGTTCAGGAGCGCTGGATTGATCGTAAGGAGGAGTATGATGAAGCATATCGGGAGATGGAGATGAAGCAATTCGAGGAGCAATCCAAGATGCAGGAAGAGGAAGAGAACTCGAGAGCTGCAGAAGACGATGATGACCTCGAGGAGATGGCTCGGGCGCCATTCGATTCGGGTGTAAAAGTTGTTAGAACAAATCAATGATACCCTCAACCATTTCCATCACTTAATTCCTCATCATCCTCACTATCCACTGCATCCACCATCATGACGTCTTTCGCGGATTCTGCCGTAGTTCCTTTCTTTGTGCCAAACATCTTCTCCAGTGTAGATTCACTTTGTTCGCCCAGGTCTCTGCGGGCCTTTAATATCATCTCCCTCGCCCTTCTAATAGCTTCTTCCTCTGCCTTTCTAATCGTCCCACTGACCCTCACAACTCTGAATACGCAATTTTTGCCGTTCTTAATAGGTAGGCTATTCATTAGCGACAAAGCTGCCCAGACAATTCGATAATGCGCTCGCGAAACCCGTAGAATAAATGTCGATGTCGCAGATGACAAATATTTTACTACATTGCAATCGCATCAGTACCCACCCCGTTAGATCAAAACTTGTGTCAGAAGAAAAAGAACAAACCTGCAACACTATCTGCAATTGCACCGCTTCCATAATCTCCAAACAGATTCGCAACTTCCAGTTGGATGCCTCTCAGTAGTGCGCGCGAAGTCAGTGCATCGACGGTTGGTTGATTGAACACCACTACATCTGGTAGTTTTTCTTTGCCGCCGGTATTTTTCTCCAGTTCCGGGTAGAGAATATTGACCAGAAGGTATCGATTCTTAATTCGTACCATGGTTGTTGAGACTTGATTTCATCAATTTCTTTGGTCTGGAACAACGCGCCGAACAAAAAAAAAGTTCGGGATACGCGATTTCTTGTGACGTCGGCCTAGGGATCGGTAAGTGGGGAAGTTCACTATCTGCCGAGGGGTAGCGATGACTAGAACCTCAAATCATTCGATAGCAGATTTCAAAATGGATAAACAGACTCTGAAGGCAGCAATTCTTATTGTGTCGACTACTGCAGCTAAAGATGCGTCAACCGACTCCTCCGGTCCTGTTTTAAAAGGTGTTTTCGAGGAAGCAGACGGCCAATGGGAAGTTGTGGAAACGAAGATCGTGAGTGATAATGTGACAGATATTCAGAGAAGTGTGATGTCCTGGACGGACCAAGGAAATACTATCAATGTTGTGATTACTACTGGCGGGACCGGCTTTGCAGTCTCAGATAATACTCCTGAGGTAATATAGTCTCCCAAGGTATCATACGCATGCTAAAATGTACTATCATAGGCAATTACACCCCTTCTACACAAGCAAGCTCCAGGACTTGTCCATGGAATGCTTGCTGCTTCATTGGCAGTTACTCCTTGTAGGTTTAGAAGAATCACGAGTACCAACAGTTAGTTGACTGATAATAGTTGCTCTCATGTCAAGGCCGGTAGCGGGTGTTCGCAACAAGACAATCATCGTCACATTACCTGGATCTCCCAAAGGGGCAAAGGAGAACCTTCAATCAATATTGAAGCTCTTACCGCATGCTTGCCTTCAGGCCGCAGGAGCAGATTCCCGGACGCTTCATGCGGGAGGTGTAAAGAAGCTCGAGAAGGAAGCTGGCATTGGTTCTGAGCGTGCTTCTCTGCCGGTACATTCACATAAACATGATCACTCCCATAATCACTCACATGGTCACGGCCATAGTCATAGCCACGGCCATAGCCATGGGCATGCAATGCCTGTTAGACATACTGCGCCAGATGAAAATCCTCTTTCGAATGATCCCGCTCTCGGTCCAACGCGACGGAGTCGTTCATCTCCATACCCCATGTTATCTGTCGAAGAAGCTTTGAAGCTAATAGAAAAACATACACCTGCTCCTCATGCCGTAAAAGCTGAAGTAAACGGAGACATAGTAGGATCTGTTCTAGCGGAGGATGTTACGGCAACTGAAGCTGTGCCGGCATATCGCGCCAGTATTGTAGACGGATATGCGGTCATTGCTACAGAAGGTAAATCGAACAAAGGCGTGTTTCCTGTAGCATCGATATCTCATGCCACCGCCGGTGAGCATCCTCTTCTGCTAGAAGGTCAGATCGCACGCATTACAACTGGTGCACCACTTCCGCCTGGAGCTACTTCTGTAATAATGGTAGAAGATACTGTGCTGAAGACGATGACCGAGGATGGTGGAGAGGAGAAAGAAGTCGAGATATTAGCCGATGGAGTGAAGCCTGGTGAAAATGTTAGAGAAGTCGGTAGTGACATTGAAGCTGGGTCTATTATAATGCGCAAAGGGGAAGAAATTTCTGCCAATGGTGGCGAACTCGGTCTACTCACGTCTGTCGGCAGAGCAGAAGTCACTGTTTACAAAAAACCAATAGTCGGTGTGCTCTCCACAGGAGACGAAATTGTCGAACATAACAGACCTGGCTCTCTCAGAATGGGAGAAGTTCGTGATTGCAATAGGCCAACAATCATGGCTGCCGTTCGAGGTCTAGGATTTGAAGTCGTAGATCTTGGTATTGCTCGAGATAAACCTGGAGATCTCGAACAAACACTTCGGGATGGACTTCGAAAAGTTGATGTTGTTATCACTACTGGTGGTGTATCGATGGGCGAGCTTGATCTTCTTAAACCTACCATTGAGAGATCATTAGGGGGAACAATTCATTTCGGTCGTGTATCAATGAAACCCGGTAAGCCTACAACTTTTGCGACGGTACCAGTGAAGAACAATGATGGAGAAAGAGTTTCGAAGGTCATATTCTCTCTACCTGGTAATCCGGTCTCAGCTATAGTTACCCTCCATCTATTCGTTCTACCTTCTCTACATCACGCTTCTGGAATATCTCCTGTGGGATTGCCCAAGGTTCCAGTAACTCTATCACACGACATTCGTTTGGATCCTCAAAGGGTTGAGTACCATAGAGCGATTGTCTCAATAGGGAGAGACGGCATTTTATATGCAAGTAGCACTGGCATGCAACGTAGCTCAAGAGTTGGAAGCTTAAAGAGTGCAAATGCATTATTATGCTTACCAGTCGGATTGAAGGATTTGCCGAAAAAGACAAAGGTAGAAGCGTTGCTATTGAGTAGGGTCAGAAGTGAATATGAAGGTTGATTGATTTTTACAAGAGGTTGAGAGGATTCAATTGAGATCGATGTTGCTGGTTGGCAGTCGGTGGTTGAATGAATGGATTTAAATGTCATGATGAGTGAAATTACCTGATTGAGAATCAAAAGTGAATTAGATGGTAATTCTCATTCTGTAATTGGAAGGAACTCTTCCCTCCTCTCATTCTCGGTATCAAAAGCTCTAGAACATCCTTCACATGGTCTCTTTCTCTCCTTCCCAAATATTTACTCTCAAGCTTTCTTTTGTTTTTTAACTGTCCACAATCATAACAATATTACTTTCATTGAAATACAGATACTTCATAATGTGTCAATACGAATACTATCAATGGCAGAAATGTGGCCATAAATCTATCGAAATCACAGAATACTGTAATACAGTTTTCTGGAGAGCTGGTATGACAGCTCGCCTTAATCCATGCCCCGAACAAAATTTCAGAGCATTTTTTGTGCGGGTCGGCATCTTGGATGGCTTGGATTTTGGTACTTGTAGATGGATCGGACAATCTGGATATTGCAAAATGTGTGAAGAAGAATATCATGTATGTCTAGCTGTGTTGTGTTGTGTTCTATTTATTGGTCAAGATTATACATTCGGAGAACTGGCAGCTTTTATAACGATCTGCTTGAAATCTACGAAGCACCACGAATGCCACCACATTATTAATTGTTTACAGATGCCAAAAGCCGTTCCATTCCGTACTTATGAAGACTATGAGTTTCTCGAAGGAGTTGGCGACCTCACCGGCGCAATCTTCGCAGTCAAGTTAGCCGAACCGATTACATATCCTCCTCCACCTCACTCAATCCAGTTCTCCTCTACTCCAAATGAATGTGTCACCAAAGACTTTCTTGACATGGAGATAGCCAAAACCTCGATTCCCCCACGTGAGTACAATTCATCATTATGGTCACTCCTTTTGAGTGCTTTCAGCTTCTGATCAAACCCCTATGACTCAACGTATTCAGATATGCCCTGATTTCTAATGTTTCCATTGAAAAGTACTAATCACGTAAGATTGTAGATGAAGCAACACCGCCCACTGGAGAAAACTTGTTAGAGCGTAGACTCAAAGCTTCATTACACCATCCCTACATCTTCACGCCGTACATCAACAATACTGTTGCAGACTTGCTCTCCGTTAAAGACCAGGACCTCTCAACTTTGATCTCGATTCAAGATAAAGATATTCCCGAGGGACCTTCAGAGAAAGGTTCCATGAAAGAATTACGAGAACTATACTTCCCAGCGAAGATGCAAATGTATGAACTGAATAAAGGTGTAGATGGTGTCACTCAACAATGGAGCAGCCGAGGCTATTATGAAGGACTGATGGTAGAGGGTGTACCCAGCCGGTACTTTTGGAATCACTGTGGAATGACACCTCAAGATGAGCAGTATGCCGTGAATAGGTTGAAGGATGGCATACCTTTGAGACACATTTGGCGGTAAGTACAACGTTTCTCTCATTTTGATTGTGCGCATGCACTTGAAATGCCCACCCCCTTTATCCGAGTGCAATATATCAATATAAAAATGCTGATTTGTACTCTTATAGTGAGGAGTTCAAGGAGAGAGGCATGGATCTTGCAATGTTCTATCAATACGGGCGAAAAATGGAGCAGCACTTTGAAGCTCGTGGAGTACGGGTAGACTCGAAGATGGGAGAAATTCAACGAGAACTTGGTGCAAGATCTCAAGCAGCCGATGGTATGCAGCCATTTGGTACGTATCGAAAGGGTGTGAACAGTGATTTACAGCCTGGCTATGGGGTATCTCATGCTCAAATCAATCCTTTTGGACGAAGCTTAGAGGATCTCAACCAACAACATCGGCAGCAGCAGATGCAAGAACATGCGCAACAAAACATGATGCAGCAGGTGATACAGCAGCAGTTAGTCCAGCAACAAATGGTCAAGCAGCAGATTCTCCTACAATACCAGGTGCGGCAACAACAGATGTGGCAACAGCAGATGATGCAAAAAATGCAACAACTACAGGATCAGTCACAGCAGGCCATGGATATTGAAAAGGGTCCGATTGTGGCCGTGGAGGAAATCGAGTCGTATGAGGCATAATGGAGCAGGGGAGGCACAAAGCTTGTGACGTCAAAGATGATGATAGAGCAGTAAAGCATGGCGTGTCGCTAATTGAATAACACCCATTGGGGCGTCTGAGGCGTTTAAGCTGCAGTGGAATTGTCATGAAACTTTGCACTTTAGCACTTTAATTATGTTCCAGAGCACGAGAGTTCCATTTACTACAATGGCATTTTAATAATACAATCTAGCGATACCACCATTTGACAATAGTAATATTAATGCAACCTTTGCCTAAAAACCCAGAAGTGCTTGAAATCGATTTCTCCCTGAACGCCATTTGTCGGCTTCCACTTGGATGATATACACAGTACAAAACAATAATTTATCTAACGTCTCTTTCCACACCAGAACTGCAACCCTCCTTCACGCCCACAGCTTATCCTCTACTCGAAGTCCGGTGCCTTTGATGAAACCAACAAGCCGATAATGAGACCAAAAAGTCCTAGTACGGAACTGAAGATCTCGATAACCAAAATCTTGACAAACCTGTCACGGATTAGCATCTTCAAGCAGGTTATATCGACATGCTACACTTACAAGCTTGGGTCAGCAGCATCTGCCAGGGCAGCACCACTACCATTGATGCCGACTGAAACACCGCATATCAAGTTGCACATTCCCACTGTTATGCCAGACCAAAATAGGGCGTATCCAGTGTAGTAGTTGCTGGCAGAATAAAGGTTTTCGCTCTCCATGAGACCGAGCTTGGATGAAAAGACGATGGACATGATGACGCCGTAAATGGCGACTACTTCGCAGAAAATAATGGAGATAAGATTCTTGGTTCGAATACGAGGAGCTTTAACACCACCACCGAGAATCGAAGAACCGGTAATCAGAATTCCCCTGCATAATTTGTGAGCTGATGATCGAGAAAGAGGGGCGAAGTTGTTGCGTACCATGCTGCCCCAACAACTGACAATCCTATACACATGCCAATACCCATGTCTGCCCACGCGTATGGCGATATCTCCTCGAGGAATTGTCCGAACTATTACTCTTATTAGATTCACTCCTTTCCAGATCGCGCTTCGAAATTCGTACATTGAAAGCTTCTCCATCGCCAGTAAAGAGCATATCTAGCAGCACCTGTTAGCTTTTGATCATCAAACCAAACAGGACATCCAAAGCTTACAAGCCCCAACCACTGCCAACGCTGTGGTAGCACCACCAATTCCATATGTAAGGCTCATCTTGTCCAGATAATCTGCGTCAACAAAGTGAAAGGAATTGAGTATTTATTTGATGTCGACAAAGCTATGGTTTGGGTGGTCTGGTCTGTACCTCATCGAGCTCCAACCGAAAGAGTAACCTAAATCGCCAACCGTAGCTAGCGCCAAACGCTGCGCAACACAGCCGCTTACTTCAGCCTTCCCTCCATATATAAACAACAACCATCAACAACATCAACTTTTCCCCTTCGACCGCAAATCTCATATTACAATCATACAAGATGGCGGCTCCACAGTCTTTCTACGAGCTCTACCGCCGTAGCAGGTACTGTGCCTTATTTTGCTACACAAGTACACAAATATATCTACATTTACTGACAAAGCATTAAGTATCGGCATGTCGCTCACAGATACCCTTGACGATTTGATCAGCGAGAGACGTATCGAGCCTCAACTCGCAATGAAAATATTGGCAAACTTTGATAGAAGTATCACGGAGGTTTTGGCAGACAAAGTCAAGGCGAGATTGACTTTCAAGGTATATGCGCCCAGAGTCATTACGAGGAACAACACTTTTCGACATGAGTGGCGATAATGAAACAGAATTTTAACTGACTGGATATTGAAGGGACATTTGGATACGTATCGTTTCTGCGACGAGGTTTGGACTTTCTTGATAAAGGATGTCACTTTCAAGATGGAGAACTCCAGTCAGTCAGTCACGGCGGACAAAGTCAAGATCGTGAGCTGCAACAGCAAGAAGCCTGGTGATCCTCAGTAGATATTGGGGAGGAATCTTTACGGTTATTTGACATATTGGGGACATGGTGGTGGATAGATTGGGAGATACAGAATGATTTTCGGACGATCAAGAATGGCATTTACAGATTGGGCTCTTCAATGACTTTAGAAAAAGGACATCTCGGGCGTTTATTGGTTTCCGTGGCGTTTCATGGCGCTTTGCCGGAGAATGAGGAAAACATGCCTATCTTGTTCGTATGTAGCGGCATGGTATCAAAATCATAGACATCGCAATGCGATGGGTCACTAATTTAGTAGCAGAACCATGATAATTCTGTTTACCAGTCTTTCTTAATAGAGCCACACACCATGCTCCAGTAAAAATGATCATGACTTATAAATCAGAGAGGCAAATCAATCCCAACAGACCTTCTATGTGTTCGAATGCTATGAACAATTGAAGACACTCCAGGGAAAGAAAATAGATAATCCTTCCATCACTGAGGGTTGGTTTGTCAATGCTACCATTCATGAATCGGTATATTTACATTGGGTAAAGTCGACTATACTAGATGGGGACTAAGATGGCACCCAGTACATGATTATGAAGGAATCTCTCAATGATCTCCTACGTCTCTTGTCTCTTTACTGTCATCTAATGCCCAGTTTATCCATTCAATTATAGGGACTAGTTCACACATCGAATGTTTTGAAGATGTTTATCTTTTCCACTTGGATCATCTTCTAGTTTCCCTATCATGATTAGACTATTCAAATCTTTCTTGAGGTTACTGATAATCTCTCTCAGTATCGAAGCGATTCCAATGAAAATGCTTGCGCCAACACTTTCGACACAAAGACAGACCACTCAGCTCATGACGATCTATGGGGCTTAGCTATATGTGTTTTCTTTCCAATTGTCCCAGGTACCGAACTTCGAGACCATCATTCAGGTATTCTCACCAAAAGTCCAGACCAAGATGCTTGGCTAAATAAGGTTGCCATTGAACGCCAACTGAGCATGAGGATCAAATCTGATTTGACCGGCACGAATACAAAAGCCCGATACATTTGACTAAAAAGAAACAATTGATATTATTTGTCAATGGCTGAAGTTTCAATGCAAATGATGGGGTACCCCATACTACAACTCTCATATATATACTTTGCGCTACCTAACGGTATTCGTCATTCACCTAGTCTAGTGACCTTATGGGTAACTCAACCGACACACCTCTCAACATGTTCGAAAAGAACTTTCAACTGAACAACAACTTCGTTGCATCAAGATCTCCCTTCTCCCTCCCTCCTCGAATTTCAAACATTGAAATCATGCCGTCTCCGAGACCAACTATCAAGAGTTTCTTTGTGGCTGCCAAAAACTTAGTGATACAGAAAAGAAAATCTGGATTCTCCTCTAGGGCTACCAGGTCTTACTTGGCCTTTTCGCCACCTCTAAACGTCCTTCGCAATGATGTTATTCCCTCGCCTGTGCTTACCACAGGTTCTTTGATAACTTGCGAGGAGGGTTCTGTGACTGAGGTACCAAGTGATATGCATAGGGGTGCAATTCTTGAGTTTGAACATCGACCTTTTGGCAATAGAGATCCTTTGACTGAGGACCAGTTTCACATATTGGAGTGGTTAGATGAGTCTGAGATTACATTCTTTGAGGAGAAAACGATATGGAATGATGTACCAGAGCATGAAGTGTTCAATGATGACCTGTTTTTCGCTGCAACCGAGAGTGAAGCGTCTCAGGATGAATCACAGAACGAGGGCGAAGAATTCGAGGAAAACTATGGTGTACCAGAAGAGGACTACAGCGAGTATTACTGGGAGGCAATGGCGGAAACGGGCGATGAGGGAAGAGATATCCAGCAGGACCTCGACGATGTTGTAGTTCGGCTCACAGTCATTGGCCTAATGACAGAAGGCCGTAAGGAGACCAGCTCGGCAGTTTCTGCCTTGGGATTGTTTGATGAGGATAGATTTGAGACTGTTCCATCTGTGTTGCCGGGTGAATTTGACGAAGGAGAAATGGAATCCACATCGCGAGATGTCAATATGCGCTTGGAAGAGGCACAGACACAGATACACGAACAGGAATCTCAAAGAACTTCGTTAAGTTTGAGAAAGACGATAAGTAACAAGTGGACTGAAGTTAGAGTTAGCCTGCGTTGGAAAATGTCTTTTTCGTCTTTACAGACAAAAGATACTTGAAAGCCATCGATATTGCGCGCAAAAGACTAAGCTTCTGGTAGCTGAACATTGCGTACATCGATACGCGAGCTTTCAAGTTGTTGACACAGCTAGCACGAATACTGTCGATAAACATAAGACTTCGTCGGGATATTCAATCTGCGCAAGTAATGCGAAAGGCTTCCTGATTCAAGCACAATTTAAAGATTGATTAACTTTTGTCTTGAAGATCGATGGAAAGGGAGGGTTTCAAGGATTCAAAGTGGACTATTTTCTTTTTGGATTTTCATTGCTCATGTGCATGTATACCTACATCCACCATATGTATGCATCTGGCAGCTCTCACGTCATCCTTCCTTCTCTCATAAAGGGCCAGTGAAATGGAGAGCTAAGGCAGAAAAACTGCACCCGGGAAATCGCACGCCAACCCAACCGACTCAAGTTTCTAAGAGAACGAGCGTTCAATTCCAATCACTAAGTACTGCCTGTTGGGGCCGCACCTCTACGCAACCCGGTATTTCGCCAGTAGCAGATTATACAGAAACGAGGGCAATAATGTTGTACCACTAAACCCGGACGTTTCGACGACTGAACTTATAGTTTCCGAAGCTTGCTTGGGAGGTAGAAGGGTTGAAAGTGGCGATTGAGTAAGACCATGAGTGTTCCGGTATGTGACTGCTCTGCTCTTCTTGAGAGGAACGGATCCGTAGCTACACAGGCTACACAGGCGACGAAAGGATTAGTTGTATTTGATATCGGCAATTCTCTTATTCAGTATATTTTTGATCCGCATTTTGTACCTTTCCATGTACTCGGAAGACTCATAGCTTCATCTCAAGAGTGTAATACTAGTCACAGAGATGCTATGATAATTCTAGCATCAAAGTATATGAGTTGACTCATTGACTCCCAGGGAAGAAACCTCGAGTCATCCAAAATGAACGTTTTTGATTCATACCCCTTTTCCACATTATGATTCTAAAGACCATAGTTTTAATGCCAAAATTTTACTTATAAGCTTCGAGATTCCCTGGGGAGAGGAAAAAAAGTTAAAGCAGAAAGAAATTTTATATCTGAATTATTTATAGGATCACTTCCCGATTTTCGAGATTCTGAAGATATATTTACAATTTTACACTCGCTCACAAGAAAACACAACCATGTCTCAAGGTCCCAAGGTCAACAGAAATTATTTCTACCCGCATGTAGCAGATCAGCCGTCCTCCAGTTCAAATCCGTCCATGACCAACAAACTCCCTGCCTCTCCTGCCACTGTTAATGCTCCAGGTTCTCAGTACAGCCAGAACTTTCCCCACACATCCATGAACCGACAATCCTCTATCGCGTACCCGCCTACACATGCGGCATATTCTGCCTCTGCTTCTACTAGTAATGCTCCAGCTCCACGGCACAACCAGGATTTCCCCCACCCTTCTTTGAACTTGCAACGCTCCAGCTAATACTCACCAAGCCCCACATACTCTACCTATGCCTCTCCTTCTACTTCTGCTAGCTATGCCGCAGCTGAATACGTCATACCAGAAACAACTCGTTCCAGCCCTGTTCATGAAACACGCCATCGTAAATCCGGTTCCTCATCGAGACTGTACCAGGACTCATGCTCTTCAGACACATGTTCTCAACCATCCTTACTCTCCACTCCTCCTCCTTTTAACGCGCGACCTACTCAGGAATGGCTCACTCAATTGCCGGCTGACATTTCAGTCAGGTCAACAGCTCAAGACACAAAGCGTGACTCACCCAGTTCCCGTTACCAGGAAGTCTCAAGAACAAGTGACCGCTCGACTTCGGGATTGAGCTCCCCAGCACCAATATCAGTGGGTGGTAGCCCTTCTCGTATTAAGGGACGTCCACGAGTAAATGGGTTGTACGTAGGAGATTACGATCCGAAGAGGAGGCCCCTCACCTCTAGGGCGGTTCGCATAAAGGAGACAGCGGAAAAACAGGCAGCGGTAAGACTATCGGTAGGAAGACAGACAGGGGAGAGCCCGACAGCCGACAGCCGACAGGGAGAAAGCAGAAAGACTATCGGCAGGAATACAGACAGCGGAGAGCCCAACAGTCGACAGGGAGAAAGCAGAAATAAAGACCCCCGAGGAATGGAAGAATGGCAGAATGAGAAGAAATATACAGGCTGGATTTGAGTAATGGTACCCTCAGCGGATTTTCTGAATTGAGGAGTTTTCTTATGTTTTTGGGTCTTTGAATTATTGGATTTCTACTCCTACTCTTGAAGTAGCTAGTAAATTACATGTTAGATGAATGGAACTATAATGATTTTACCTTCTGATCTCAAAGACAGTATGATAATTTGAGTGATCAAAATAGTGAAACTGTGAGCCATTTCCAAAAAGTGGTCTTGTGTCACACACTTTTCAAGTATTATGACTCCAAATATTGTAGATTGTAGATTCTGAATTCTTGAATTCTTGAATTCTATATCTTATTGAGAACTATCACCTGCTTTGTCAGAGTTGAATGAAGCCGTCGATATTAAAATTGAGAATGAGATTCTTGGATATTGTGAGGATTGGTCACACATAAGTGGAGGATCCAAAATGGCACAACCAACGACTAAATCAGCTCTAGAGATTCATTTCATTGATCATGAATCTAATCGGAATACATTAAATGAGATAATAATGGTATGTATTCCAAAGAATCGAAGTATGGGGGTTCTTTTCAATGTCTATGACATAGACATGATCAGAAGGAGATGGGTCGTCCTCTCGCCTTCCTACTGATCCCTTGGAGCATCCGGAGAACCCAAAGAGCTTCTCGTGGCAGTCACTAGGCCATCGACTCCAATACCTTAGACCTGCTCTATCATAAGCACTTAAATCGTACCCAGCTTTCGTGTTCCTCATTGTAATACCAGTTCCTTGAACTTGCTTCACTGCAATTTAAGTAACTCGACCACGGTAGTTTTATATGTGTGGAATGAAGAAAGATACGGCTCTTGAAGATGAGCCCATGTATTCGAGCGGTACTGGCTCTGGATGCGTGGACGGATGATAGGGTATACTGTGGAATTTGAGAAGCTGAGAGGAAGCACCTTGACTCTTGCGCAGCTAGCGCTTTTATATTGAGAAGGGGGGAGATATGTGAAAACGGAGTACATGGTGACAGTGGGTGAGAGGAGATGGTGAGAGAAGAGGGTAGACGACCAAGTTTCAAGTATCAAACCATAATTAGGTAGTTTTACTAAAAACAGCATAAATGATGGCCATGAACCTGGAGTCAAGCTTATTGAACCAAATAAAGATTTACCCCATGAGGGCTTATATACATGCATTTGAAAATGGCGTTATGCAGCATTTGTGAAGAGGGAAACTGCGACGCCCTCGACTCACTAGTTCGAAAAAAGAAATAATTCCGATGAAATGCAGATGACCTACCTACATACCATTACAATTGTTTGACGACAATTATCAGAATCACATAATTGTCAGTGTCATTTTTCAATGACATGTAAGACTTACGATTTCTCGAAACCCCATGCAATTAAGCAAGCACCAGCGCGTATCTAGGTTTCCTTCCGGGCACCGTAACTTACTATATCACCCCAAATCACACCTCCAACAAAGGGATAACCACCTCTACCTTACCCTAACAACGCCCAACACTACAGGCTCTTCACCATGCTCCGCCCTGCCAAACGCAAAACGCAGTCCTCTACTCATTCCACCTCTACCCACGAATCCGACAATCACGAGTCCTCAGGATTGGTAGAAGTCAACGCCGGTACAACAACAGCACTCACTACCGGTTCTACCATGTCCGCTCTTACACTTGAGGCTGATGGTGGAGTAGACGCACTGGGTGGAGTTGAGGTGGATGATCCACGCAAACCCCTCTTAGGCACAACAGGAACAGGGGTTAGATACAAGCTTCAGACTAAGAATAGGATTCTGAATGACGACGGCTCTTATAATGCAACTACGATTTCGGAATCAACATCTTCTTCACATCGTAAAGGGAATGAACCAGAATTAGACTTGGAAGAGGACGAGGACGAAGAAGAAGGGCAAGAAAACACAATGGAGAATATTAGTCGGAAATCGCAGTGGATTTTATTGGCGGTGGCTAGTGGTGCTTGTGCGGCTTTCAATGGAGTTTTTGCGAAATTGTAGGTTGTCTTGGGATTTTTTTCAAGTTGCTTCAAATTCTTTGCGGACTTAGTGATTCAATGGAAGGAGAAGTATAGAAGGGAAGTGGTTGAATATGCGCGGATGTATCGGAATGGTTTCTTTGAAAGCTATACGGAATGAATGGACATGTCATGTCATCGCTAGATTCTAATGCGCTGACACTTTATTGAACCCAGAACGACAACACAATTAACGACTTCATTTGCAGAGCATGTTGCAGGATTTCTGGGATTAGGGGAGGGTGAAAAGGTTGTTGAATATGGTGTGCGAGGAGTGAGTTTCCCATTCTTATTCAATGAGCGATGTTGTTTTTGGACGATACCCTTCATGAGAAACGGAACACCAACACAGCCACAAGACCTCTCAATTGTACACATCGCTAACCTATAACTGCAATAGATATTTTTCCTCCTCAACTTGGTTTTCAATGGTATCATGTGGACCCTCTTTACCAAAGCCCTCGCTCGCGGTACCTCAACCGTTCAAGTTTCCATCATAAACACATCGTCCAATTTCATGATTACGGCTGTTCTCGGCTTTATAATATTCTCGGAAAGTTTACCACCATTATGGTTCTTAGGCGCGGCGTTGCTAGTTGCAGGGAATGTGATTATCGGGAGAAGAGAAGAGGAAGAGAAGGGGAATAGTGGAAATGATATGGAAAATGGAGAAAGTAGAAGGAGAAGCGGAAGCGAAGGAGAAGAAAGGGAAGGACTATTAGGGGAAGAGTTAGAATTGGGCGGGGGGGTTGTGGAAGGTTCCGATGATGAAAGTTCTAGAAGAGATGATGATGTTTTGGATTTGGGATTGGATGATGAGGGCAAGAGTGACGAGGAAGAGGATTTATTAATCCATTGATTGGAAAGTACATTACTTGTATAGATGTGTTTTTGGTATATATAGCTCGATACTATACGGGTAGTAGGACGTTGTTTGGCGTTAAGCTTGGATTTGGACACGAATTAATATGATGTTGTGGTATGATCATTAGATCTACTCGCTGGTTCTCATTCTACACCCCGGTTTTATTCTTCAATTCTAGAGGAGAACTAAGTAGGATACGGGAAATCACTTGTATAAATTCTATATATCAAAAAGACTATCCACCAAACGTCAGAAATCTAAGTCGAACACGCTCAAAATGACAACCTGCAATATCGAGGAAGGAAAGCTCACCAAGAGGCGACGAAATTCAGCAGTTAGATTTCGATCAGAGCTCACCGGGAACTGATCTAGAACTCCCCGGTAGACACTGAAATTCCTATTCTCGTGTCCCGTTTTATCATTACGTCGTGTGGCTTCAGTGTGCTTATTGATGGGTCGGTTTACCTTGTAACGTTGCTACGGGTTCTCACTTTAATATTGTTACATGAACTTGTAGCATAAAAATATCATTTCGCCCGACCTACAGGCAGAAATATTATATTTTACAAATCTGTATTTCATTTATGTAGATATATTTGTACATACCGCGCGAGTTTATGAATCCATCTAGAAGCCGCGAGGCGAAACAGAATCATCTCTCTGAGTCATTCACACCCACCCACCCTTAACTCCACAAAATACGAATTCGCCATCCGCGCAGATCCAAACCCCATTAGGTACTCATCATTCATCCCAACAATATACAACTCCAACCTACTAATCACTCAACGCAACAATCTCAAAACATCTCCCATTCTCGTCTCCTTTCCCTTCCCTCTACCCTTACTCGCCTGCTCCTGAAATGCTCTACCGACCAACTTTCGCTTCTCCGCCTGAATCTCCAAAACTCTCTCTTCAATGCTTCCCTCCATTACCAATCTCCAAACCTTACATTCACGCTTTTGTCCCAAACGATGCACGCGATCTACCGCTTGATCTTCGATTGCCGGGGCCCACCAGGAATCGGCTAGGATAACTGTATCAGCTGCTACTAAATTGAGACCTACAGAGCAAACGGCCAAACTGGCAAGGAGAATTCGACATTCGGGATCGCTTTCGAGGGCATGCATGCCCTTGTCACGTTGTGGGGCTGTCATTGAACCATCGATACGAGCAGATTTGATTCCAGCTTGCTCGAGTTGTTTCTGAACAATGTTGAGGAATGAAGTCCATTGCGAGAAAATGACGACTTTCGAAAGTGGGTCACTGTGTGTGACTTTGATGATTTGCATCAGAGCTTCGGTCTTGGAGGATTGCTCATCTGTATTGATTTCCTCGTCTTCCGCTGTTTCGACGGCAGGGTGAACGAGAACGTCTTTGTTCTCGAGATTGGCACGGCACATTGGACATTTGTGTTGGAGTTCGATAGTGCGCTCGATACATTCCTGTCCAAAAACGTGTTTGCAGGTTGTGATGACAGGGTTATGAAGTTCATCGAGACAGATGGAACATTCTTCATGGTTGTCAATGTTGAGCTGAAGAAGCATTTGTAGAGCGAGACGAGTCTCGGCGTTGAGCACAACTACGTCGTCTTTTTCAATAATTTCCATGAGGGTGTTGACTCTGTTCTCGCAAAGCTTCCAGTGATTGCATACTTGACGCATGCGAAGCAGAATTTCAAGGATATGGGTGTATTGGATTTTGTTCTTCTTGAGAGACTCCGACTGCTTTTGATATTGATCAGCCATACCTTTAGCTTGTTGACTGATTTTTTGTTAGTATAAGCGTTGGGAGATTGGATGTTGGTACTCACACTAAAGCTTCATAAATCTTCAATTCATCATTTCTGAACTTGACCTTGTGGACGAACTCTGACAATTCTGGCAATTTCAGATCGACGAACTTCATATCCTTCTTGCGTCGCAAGCACAAAGCTCTCATTGTTGTTTGTAGAAGCAGTTCTGATTCACGATTCCTTAACGCCCTGAACGTAAGTTAGCATAAGTAATTACTATGATGCTCCTTAAGTGAGCACTTACAATGGACGAGTAAACACGGCGTTGAAAACCTCAAGCTCATTGAGGCCACCACCAATACCCAAAAATCTGAGCATTGAATAAAAGTCCTTGATAGTATTGACAATCGGTGTTCCTGTTAGCACCCACTTTGAAGTGGCACTGATACTTGTTGCTGCAATCGCACTCTTTGTCTTTGGATTACGGATGATGTGACCTTCATCCAAGACGATTCTGCGCCATTTGAACGAAAACAAACCAGAAGTAGTCGGAACTTTCGCAGGAAGCTTTGAACCGCGAGGGAACAACTCTGAGCTGAGTGTGCCGTAAGTGGTGATAACAACATCGTACTTTGCAAAGTCACTCGAGGTCATTTCCTTGACCTTGCCTTGGCTACCATGGTAAGTCAAGACTTTCAAGGCTTTGTCTTCCTTGATATGTCTTTCCATTTGCTGTGCCCAATTTGACATAACACTGACCGGTGCAACGATCAAAGTCGTACCTGATCCACCCTCAAGAATAAGGGAGATAACCTGCAAAGTCTTTCCAAGACCCATATCATCTGCAAGTATACCACCCGAGGCCAACTTCGGAGCCTTATCACAGTAGTTGGTTGCGATATTTTTGTATGTGCCTTTGTGTTCTTTTGAGGCTTTCCAAAGCTGCACAACTTTGTCTGATTTTGCATCCGGTAAGACTGGGTTCTCTTTCTCAAGCATCCACGCTAAGCCTTGACGCTGATACGGAAGTAATGTAGCCTTGAGATCTTTTGGTTGTTCTGCCATGGGCATCTTTGAGAGTGCATCTTCAGGTAAACCCAACTCTTCGGCCATCTTATCCACTTCTCTCGGATTGAATCGCTCGCTGTTCGCAACAAAATGTGCAAGATCGATTACTGGTTGAGGTGTTGGCTCTATCTGACTAGAGCTACCAGCTTGAGAAGATGTGAAACCCATTTGCTTTCTCTGCGAGAGTGGAACTGGAGCCTTCGACGGCTTTGGCGGCGCCACTTCTCGTCTCTTCAATGGTAATCTCTTGGCGGCCAACTGCTTCTCCACTGGTTGTATAGTCAGCAAGCAGAAATATTATCTTAGAAACTCTTGTAGCAGATGAATGCTTGAGGACACGACATACAATTAGCTCTCACGACAGGATCCGCTGGTCCGTAAATCTTAAGCAAAACAGGACAATCATATGCTCTCTTTTCTCCAGTAAGAACTCCCTCCATAACAATTGCTCTCGCATCCTAAGTTTGGCATCAGTCTTCATTTCACATCACCAATATCTCCAGAATTACATACCAAAAATCCAGCCAACTTAGAAGCCAGCTCCCTCGGCAAGTGTCCAATTTGTGTACCTCTCACATTATTAATACGGATCGCATTCGAATCATACGGATTTCCCGGTTCTCTCCTGACCATGACCTGTTCACCAACCGTCGCATATCCCTCATAAAATCTAACGCCCACAATCTTCCCATCAAGAGCACCAACCAACACCCATCCAAAGCCCTCTTCGACATCTTGACTCAAATCAATAATCTCATCTTCATCACCCTCACCCCACTGATCACGGACATTCAAAGCTTGACTCGAACTTGAATTTCCAGCAGCCTGTGAAGGTCTTGAAGAACCAGAACCAGCTCTTGACAGACCAGGTGTAGAATTGAGTCTGGGTTGCTTGGGCTGAGCGCGAGGTACCTCATCCTCTGAATCCGAGTTTGTCAGATCGACAAAACCGGATGACGCGCTGCGTTTTCCTAGATTCGACATGATCAATCCCAAAACCGATTTATCATGTACCAAAATTCTAAAATGTGGTTGTTGCAAGAGAAAGCTTGACGCGTTTGCAAGGTTCGATTAATTTCAAGAGCATCGGCAATTACATGGGTATGGAACGCCTGAACACGTGATTTTGGTTTTTGTGACCAATCGATTTGTTTGTATGTTTGTAAGTTGATTGCTACCTCTCACCTCTTTCTTTCAATAATGTGGTTGTTTGTTCTAGATCGCTATTGCTAGCTGGGTAAGTGCTAGCTAGCATGCTCTACTCCGGTTTGGGGCCGCATAACCTAATGACTCTATATGCTAGCTCTCTTAGCACAGCAGGCATAGGTACATAGGTAGCTGTAGCTAATTTGATATACCACTATTCGCCATTGCGAACCAAACATCGATATTACACTGTTATAGACTCATCTGGTAAAAATAACATTAACTCAAGTCCTCGTTTACTTCTTCCATCTGCCTTCTCCCGGGAAAATTAACATTCAACCTCACACTCTCACATGCAGCTCATCGTCATCGTCATCACCAAAACCAAGCTCTTATCCCTGCTCTCTTGATTCGAAAGAACAGGATCCAACACATTCAGCTCCTAGAATCAATAGATAGATAACACAAACCTGATAAAATGCTAGAGCTTTTTGTCTTCCCGTCTAAAGTCTTTAAGAAGATTAAGATGATATAAAATTCGTGATTAGAAATTTGTGTATTTCATCCAATTTTTGACGGCTTTTGCAACCTTTGGTGTAAATTTGTATGTTTGAACAGGGCAGCGAATCATATTTATATTCTCTTAGATTCCAGGTCAAGATGATTCGAGAGAGATTATTGATGTTATTGATTAATATTTTCTGTATGTGCACTTTCTACGATCTTCCATCATCGAGTTACCTGTACAATTAGAAAACTAATCAAATCAAAGGTCCGCCCGTGACAGTTATGGCTGTGAGTCTCTTATCCCCCTTCCTCAACCTCAATTTCACTCAACTAGGCTAATATCTACCCTAGATCGCAGGTGTGGGTGCCGATTGTCTCCTCAACACTATCCTTTTCCTCCTGGGCGTCATTCCCGGCCACATCCACGGTTTCTACATAACCTGCACTTATTTCTCTCGAAAGAGTAAAGTTCGGAAGGGACAGTATCCAGGCGGTCCGAAAATGGGCATTTATAGTGAGAGAGTTTGGTATGGGGGTGCCAGCTCAAGACGCATAGATGAATTGTGGGAGAAGAGGGAGAGTGAGAGGGTGGAAAAATTGGAGAAGAAAGGGAGAGGATTCATGGGAAGAAAGAGTCAAAATGGGAAAAACAATGGAAGAAGTGAGGTGCTGAGAATGCATAGTGATGTGGGAGTGGAAAGGATGCATTCAAGCGCTGGTAGAGGGGGTGGCAGGGGAATGGGGAGGAGTACGACTATGGTGTAAAATATTGCAACGAAACCTTCAAAAGGGTTTGGCATTGAGTTATGCTCACTTGGGCACAGAAAGAAAAGTAAATACAGGCAGGCAATCTTTCCGGGGCAAATAGAAGAAGACCGGTATAAGTCGAACACGCTTTTGTAGAGCCTGCTCATGATTCAATGGCCTCTATTTGATTGTCATCCTTCCAATACCATATGCTTATCAGAATATTGTTACAAACATACTTCTGCCGCTTGATATATCCTCAATATCTTGTAGAAAGAAAAGAAAAAAATGTAGCTTAACAACGAAAAGTGTTGCGCGCCAAGATTTCCACATCAATAAATAGTCCTACAAATATGCACGCAACGGGTATCCTCGCAAAATAGTCGAAATGCACATCAACAGCGTGCAACCGTTCACTTGTCGATGTTGTCAAAACCATAAATAGGTCTCCCTTGTCGACGCAATGCCCAAATGACCTAACATGACATTATCAGCTTTGAGTCTCAACCAGCAACTGTAGCACAAGAAACTCACATCATTGACAGTGACCGTCTTTCTCTTAGAGTGTTCAACTATTGCGACGCAATCCTTCAAAATCTGCAAGGTATTAGAACGACGATCTCGACATTGTAACGAGGGTACAGACCTCATTCAAACGTGATTTAATCGCCTCACGGACATCGCCATAGATCATCGATGAGATACGTTTAACACCACCTCTTCGTGCTAGACGTCTATGAATTGTGGTTAGTTCGCATCTTCAGCCTTACCACGAAAGTACTTACCGAATATCACCTTTGGTAATACCATTAATGTTATCTTTTAAAACCTTTCTAAAATCAGAAACATATTAGCAAAGTGTCCAATCCTTGAGAACAGTGATAAATGAAGTAACCTCAAGAATCATAGAGATCGATCCAAAAAACTCACCGATGTCTTCTCAGACGAGAACCACCTCCGATTCCCCTACCACCTGGACCGGTCTTGCCCTTGCCTCCACCAAGGCTTGACATAACAGTCTTTCCGGCCATTGAATGATGACCTCTTCGAGAGTATGGTGAGGATAAGCTTTGTGGTGCCATTTTGTTACAAGGAGCTGATATGCGTCTTTAGAAGAGGTAGCAATTTATCGTAATATTATTACTCGATCATACATCCAATGGAGTTGAGACAATTGTTTGAAAGTTGAAAGGGATTGAACAAACGAAAGTTGAACGCGGCTGGGAAGCGGGGGGAAAACGAAGTCACGGGACTTGAAACTAGCGCGTTTTTCTACTTTTTCCTCTCACCCGGGTCTCACTTTCAATAATACTATATATGTACTGAGCAATTTTATTATTCTGAAAAAGAACTTCTGTTGATATCCAAGCCTCCTGAAGAGACTCTATTACCCCATAAGGTATCTCCAAGCCCTAAAATGTATGTACTTATTCTCCAACGCACCCATGATGTCTCTTGTTTCGCTGACGCCCGAAAACCAAAAAAAATTGACAAGTAAAAACATCAATGCCATAAACTCAAGTCCCAAGGTATCATTCGGAAATAAACGTTGCTTCGGTGTATAAAACTCCCTCCTCTGTAATTTCTTCATCTCCAATCTTTAGTTTCAAGGTTGTTGGCTTGCTACGCGGGGAGTACTACATGGAGTATTAGTATCACGGAATTTCGTAAGAAGTATGTATGACAAACCTGGTAGATATATGGTCTTGTTCCAGCAACATTGCCCACGATTTTCTTTACAAACCCAGGGACTTCAGCCATGACATCAACTCTATCGAGTCTTTCCTCGAGGTCTGTTTCGATTAAACCAGAAACGGATTTTCCGTCCTTTGTCTTTCCTTGCCAGTCAAATTTGACAGCCTCTGGTTCCGGCCAGCCAGCATCCTCATCATTCTTGATCCGGGTGTGTTTGGCAGTATTTCCAGCTCCAGCACAGATGATTTCGCCATCCTTGACTATGCCACCAACACTGACGACGGTAGAACCGTATGCTGGAGGTGTTGTGTATTCCATCATTATGGCTGAAAATTGTGGACCTTGATAGTTAACAAAATTCCACTTTGCGGCAGCGTGATGTGGTTTCATTCCCTGGAGCGCATGTATGAACAATGCCTTGCCCTTGAAGTCTATTGACCCATCTTTGGTTGTAATGGATCCTTTGGTGATAGTTCGTGGCCAGAATGCATGTCTCATCGAACCCCAAGGAGCCTTTGGATCTGTGCCATAATATGATTTGCCATCTTTACCGACATGGAAACCCGGAGCGACTCGAGTCACTGTGAGATTGACGATGGATGCTTCATTCGTCATGGATTTGATAGTATATTCTGTGCCATCCTCGGAAAGATCAATGGCAACATCGTCTGCATAGAAGCAGGTTTTATCATCGCTGAATTCGACGTTGCTGAGTTGATCGGAACTCCATAGATTAGGCTTTGAACTACCTTTAGGATAGGAGATTTTGCAGTTGAACTGAGTTGTCGTTCGCACGCCACTTCCTATAGTATTAGCATCTCGTTCTTACAAGGAGACAAGTGTAAATCATACATAACATTACTGTGTATAATTTGCGCCATGGCAATATGTCCACTATCAGCCATGAAATAGAAAGTCTGAGTCTCTACGCTCGTTGAGTCCATAGCGACCCATTTCATATCTTCTCTCGAAAGTTCAGTGTATGGCGTGGTTTCTGCTTGCTTGCCGACTGGTATAATTGCTGACGGTCCATAGATTGGTTCTGCTGTGCCGGCAACATTGGCCATTGTCTTTTTGGCCCAGTTCATCATCTTGAATATTTTTGTTATTGTATCTTGGGGAAGTGAAATGATTTATTGTGATGTTTGTCTTTGAGAGAGGGACAACCGTCCTTCAAGTACCAAGATGACCCCCCCATCATCTTGTTCCTGCCTAATGCATACATCATCCATATTTAATCACGTGCAAGCCCCTTTCATAGATTTAGAAGGGATTAATCTTGCTGTCGTTTGCGAAGAATATCAAAGTGTATACAAATGACGTATTATTGTAAAAGGCATTGTGTCGCATCATTTTACAGAAATCAAATGAGTTTCGGCATGTGGATTATCTAAAATTTGGGGTAACCTTGAAAGGCTGAATGGATCCTTGACCAAAAAACCCATGTCATTTTCAGAACCTTATCGACAAGGCGACAGACGCGGCCTAAAATTTTAATTTATCAAATTGACCTCAAGAAAGCTTCACTGCCAGGACATCTTCCTCAGCCAGCACCTTAATAACGATGTCGAAAGCACGCGCAGCTTCAGATGTGATAGTGAAACTCATAGTAGGAGCAGGACAAGCCAGTCCTAGTCCTCCGGTTGGTCCTGCATTGGGAAGTAAAGGTGTAAAGTCAATGGACTTTTGCAAGGTACGCACATCCCCAACTTGCGCAGTTCCTGAATCTTGTTGCAGTTTCGACTTCATTTGTATCATGAACACAATTCATGTTGTTCTCAAATGGCCAGTTAGTCTAATGGTTTCACTAGGAATTTAATGCGAGAACTGCCCATATGAATCCAGGAACCCCAATTCCCGCGAGAGTCACAGTGCGACCAGATCGATCATTCCATTTCGAACTACGCACACCGTCAACATCATGGTTACTTCTCAGCGCTGCAGGCGTTGAGGCGAAAAAGGGAAAGCTAAAGGGAGCACCAGATTCGACAACGGTTGTGGGTACTGTCAGTTTGAAGCACATCTACGAGATTGCCAAAATAAAACAATCAGAATTGCGCCTATCAGGGTTATCTTTGGAGGGGCTTTGCAAATCAGTGATTGCGCAGGCGAAAACCATTGGGGTTAAGGTTGTCGCATGAAGGGGGCGAGGGGTTGTCGATCAGGCTCATTCGAATAAGCTGAGTCAATTTACACGTGTGATATCATTGCGGCGGCGTTGGGATTCATATGTACACTACTCTCAGAGGGAAACCTGAGATTGCACGGTGTGAAATAGACGATTTTCATGACGGTTTAACCTCGAGAATGTTTCGACTAGGACATTAACCTTTAAGGACATGAAGATTTCGTTAACAGGATTGATAATTCCGCGTTGTGGGTGCTCGTCCAATCGAATGCTCAGAAATGGACTCATGTATCAGTACAAACTTTTCCAAAACCATGCACACTTGGCAGATTTGTTTCATTTTGCTCTGAACTAAAGCTGCGCTTCCAAATACTTGATTATTGGGCGCTCAGCGAGAGTGAATACTTATGAAGTACTCGTAGGTAGGTAGGTCATGCTTCCTAAGATGTCTCTTCACGGAACGGATGTCTCTCATTGGAAATCCGAGACGAACTCCGGATTGCTTCGAGCTAATTGGATCACGTGTAACTATCTCCTCCAATCCTTCTGGAACGCTTTGCGCAACCCCAGCAGCGAAATCGGGGCTTCAGGGGTTGTCCTCGGTAACACTCGGTATCACTTGGACTTGGCTTTGACAGTGGAGTTCTAGAAGAAACCTAGAAGCATCGTATCCCAGCGCGCCCAGCTATCTACGACCAATGCAGCCTTAAGTGTCAATAAAGCAGGAAGATCTACAAACCAAATCGCCCCCCCAAGAATGTACAACGATCCACTCATAAACGATGCTCAGTATCGGATGTGCCGGGACAAAATACGATGCTAATGTTGTACAAGCACGCAGGCGCCTCTGTAGACTCGCCATGCATAATCTTGTGCCTGCTGAGCTGCTGTGCAAGATGAAGACTTTGGCGAACGAAGCAATTAGAGATGCCTGGTATTGATTTGGGTCTTCTGATTTGAGCGACTCGAGACGGAACAAATGTCTCCATTGTATGAGAATTGCTGGTTCCAATTACATAGAGACATGTGCCTTATTTGTTGTAATGAGTTTGCTGTAATGAGTTTCGGAAGTCAAGATGGCATGCCAGTCGGTACTTATTGATAGGTTGCCCCCCTTTCTCATCCAGGTTCACAAGGCGGTTTCAACAATATAGAATCACCAGTCAGCCACATCTACTGAACGACTATTCGTACAGTCTGCCTCGAGTCTACGTGCCTCTGTAAAAGTCCAGTTCTAGGTTGGGCTTTAAATTTCCTCCATCTGTTTATTTTTATCCTGCCTGTGTTAAAATTTCGATCCACCTCTCCATAATACCTGGCTTAAAACGGAATGATCGTGGTCGAGACCTACTCTGTAGATAATCTCAGCGGATGTGATTTGCTGAGGTGAGGACAAGAGTAGATACGCACGTAGAAAAAAACTCGATTTTCTTTCTTCCATCACATGTGTTTAGTTAGAGAATGAAGGGATTGCCAGTAGACCTCCTCGACCTCGTACCTCGTAAAAACTTTTCCTTTTTCTTTTTCAAGCGGCAACCGACTGCCCAGCCTGACCGCATGTAGAAAAGACCTCGGGAAGCAAAGACTTCCATTCCAAGGTTGTTTGTGGTGTTATTAGTAAGCTATGCGTAATCCAAATGAATGCGAGTCAATGGAAATTATCTTCAATCTCTGGGAGTACCTGGAATGCTTCTGAAATTAACGGTCCAATTTCTCTCCATCTCATCCAACCCAGCCTTTTGCATAATTGCTCCATCGACGCCTTTGGGTGATATTTTGGTACGCCGAACATAACATCTCGATCAATTCAATGTAAATCATTATCCGGTTTACATCATATATACCACCAGACACCGGACGCCGTACACCATACATCATACATCATACATCATACACATGAATTCGAAGGAAATAAAGAAGGCATCGGAATTGCATCTAGCACATGTCTATCGTCACACTACAGTCATCTATCTTCTTGTCCTGATTAAAGCCGATGCAAATCCGACCTATCACACTTGATATTCTCCATTACAGATTACCTGGTACACACATCTTCGCGTCTCTCCCTCCTCTTGTTATATCGGACCTTTCCTACTTCATCAAGCATCGAGTATTACCTTGCCAATTCCAGTTTAGACATTGCTTATGATCTAGGGTCTCTTGGGCTTTTCGCATTCAAGGTTCAATTATTATTAACCGGTAACCCGTCATCATCATTATTACTCTTGTTCCACCCACCACCTAACATTCAAAATCCTTCCTCCACTAATAAAAACTTTGACTTCGACTTTGACTTTTGGCTACTCCAGTCTACTACCCACCATCCATTGAAAATCCTCAAAGATCCGGTCTTGGTGTTCCTACTACCTCCGCTACCAGTTCTTGACCATTTGTTCATACTGTTTGTTAACTGGTACATAAATTTCTTGGTTGTACATGATCTAGTCGAATCAGTTAGAGTAGATTCTTCACTCGAATCTTCAAAGACTTCATTAAAATAAAACAGTCAAAATTACATACATACATACATACATACATACCAATACCAGTACATGCTTTGTACGATTGATTACTCACTCCATTTGCATTTTCTATCTTTCTCTTTGCTGAATATTCAATCTGATGGTTAATCATTCATCGATTGGTGCAAAACTTATCATCTCGGCTTCTTCTTCCGTTTAGTTTGCTCTCTTACAGTATTGTATCCGCTTTTGACTCAAGAGAAACGCTCCGAAAGCCCCACCATCAAACCTCCAAATTCTCCTTTCAGAATCAACCTTCTCACTTACAACCTGCCCCGACTTTCGTGAAGGCTCCGGAGGGCTATCCTCGACCATAGTGCAATTGCTCCAATATCCTATACCCCCCATCGCTCTCACTATGGCTGAACCTCAAGAATCATCGTCGTCTACTCAGACGGCCCCGCTCGGTGAGTCTCTGCGCTTACTCGTGCTGTTGTCGACCCAATCACGACATCTTGTCAACATATATTGAGAGAATGAGGCTAACAATGGCCACGCAGGCTCTACACCTTTCAAATTGAACGGCAAATCCTCTACTGAAGGTTCCCCACAAGTCCGGTTCGCCGCGGTCAACGAGCAAATAGCACCGGATGCAAGCTTCGCTGGTCTGGATCATAGCACGGCTACGCAGAACATGTTAAATAAGGAGCAGGTAGATTTAGATCAGTTATCGAAAACCCTTCAAGGAACTCATCTACAAGAACGTCGCATGAGCCATTTTGCATTCGAGCCTGTGTCTCTACCAGCTTCGAGAGTACGTCATTTCTATTTGCAACGATCTATATTTCAACGGGTTCTGCCAATCTGTGGTTTGATAGTTCAGCTTGAAGTGTCAAACTGTAACAACGCCAAAATTTGGCTGAACCACGGGCTAGATTTAGTAGACTCTATGCATTAAGAACCACAATTTGCTTTGCAAGGAATTCGCATTATATGGCCCACAATAGCGCATATTGCTATTGTTCATAATTTGACTTTGTTTCTGTTTGGAGTCTTGTACTATCCAACTAACTCTTTGAATTGTAGATACCCTCAACCGAAGAGAACTCGCGAGAGGCTAGCCGATATAACACACACAGTTCTTCGAGTCGACCCTCTCCCCATCAAAGTCCTCGAACATCATCCATGCATTCTCCACCCATAACCCCTGCTGCAACACGATCGAGAGATGCTCCGACCGAAGCAGCAAAGGGGGTTCCAGTCCAGAAAGTAGCTGCGGAGGGGGATCCGGCGGCTATGACACCTCAGATTTCACCACCTAGAACCTCACCCTCAACTACAAACGCTGACGCGTCTCGACCTGGATCTTCTGGACAAATAATGGCTAGCCCTAATAGCAATTCTAACGAATCATCAAAACCACATCATACTTTTTCGATTGGTCCTACTGCAAACGATACCTCCGTTCCTGCATCTCGAGAACCCAGTCCCGCCCGTTCTGCTACTCCCTCGGCCTACAGCAGACCCTTTACACCAGCCGGTGATATAGATGATCCTTACGCCGCATCTAGAAGAGTCCCGCAGCCCAAGAATGCCGAAGCTATTGAGTCGAGGTTCAGATTTGGCGCGGTAGGCGCAAAAAACCGACAATCTCCAAGCTCATCCACAACTAGCTTGCCTAGATCCTCCAGAAGTGCGGCAGATGGAAAGACACCGGCACAAGGTGTCGAGAAACGACATACTGGATTATTCGGACATAAAAATCATTTATCAGGTGTCCACGATGATAGTGCATCAACAATACACAAAGCTCACGGTTCCATGTCAGAGCTCAAGCGATTCTTGAAAATTGGTCAACATAAATCCAAGCGTGCTGGCTCTCCAACACCATCTACTAAATCTGGCAGCTCAATAAATAAAGCATCACCATCTAGCAAAGGGCAGCAGCTTCCATTTGGTGATGACCACGGGCTAACTTCGAAATATGGCAAGTTTGGAAAGGTTCTTGGAGCTGGAGCTGGAGGCTCCGTACGTCTAATGAAGCGAAGCAGTGATGGTAAAACATTCGCCGTGAAGGAGTTTCGCGCCAGACATTCTTATGAGTCAGAAAAGGAATACACGAAGAAAGTAACTGCCGAATTTTGTATAGGATCAACTCTACATCATGGTAATATTATCGAAACATTGGATATTGTGCAAGAGAAAGGAAAATGGTATGAGGTTATGGAATATGCACCTTACGATCTATTTGCCGTTGTAATGACTGGTAAAATGTCGAAAGAAGAGGTTACCTGCTCATTTCTTCAGATTTTGAGTGGTGTCACATACTTGCATAGTATGGGCCTAGCCCATCGAGATCTGAAGCTTGATAATGTTGTGGTTAACCAATATGGTATTATGAAGATTATCGATTTTGGTAGTGCTAGCGTGTTCTTGTATCCCTTTGAAGGAGGCATCACGTTATCCAGTGGTACGTTACCTTGAATTTCCTCAAAAGATCATGCTAATATTCTTGTAGGTATTGTTGGCTCCGATCCTTACCTCGCTCCAGAGGTGTATGACGAGAAGAGATATGACCCACAGCCAGCTGATATCTGGTCCCTTGCAATCATCTTCTGCTGCATGTCTTTACGCCGATTCCCATGGAAAATGCCTAGAATGACGGATAATTCCTTCAAATTATTTGCCTCTCCTCCATCACCAAAAACAGAACATCACAATGGAGCAACCACACCAGCCACAAAGGAGTCGGATACCAAATCCTCTAATTCGAAAAATGGTCCCAACGGCTCCGGTTCTGATGTTGACATGCTCACCTTGATTAATTCCATTGAATCAAGGAAGCCTCCTGAGCCACCAAAGCCAGAAGTGATTAAAGGACCAGATAGATTACTCCGTCTCCTACCCAGAGAGAGTAGGGAAATTATCGGATTGATGTTGAAGCTGGATCCAAAGAAGAGAGCTACGATGGCACAGATACTGGATAATCCCTGGGTAAGAGATACAGTGATTTGCCGTCAAGACTCAGATGGCAAACCCATATCGGCTCCAGGCCATACACATACTCTTGAGCCACCAACACCACCTCCTTCCTCAAAATAACGAATTTTACGTAGCCTTGGATGACACTTCATTTGCATAGTCAGGGTTGGGATTAGGGGGCGTTTTGGGTGGGATGATTTACCTAGGTTGATTGGTTCATATTGATGGCACTACTTCACAGTGCAGTGCATAAGGCTCATTTTTAGATAGTAGAGGAATTGCGGTAGATTGTATATCCATAGGAGTGTTGGAGGTCTTATATTATTTTGGAATCGTTACTAGATACATACCTCGAGGTCGTTTTAGATAGGAATGTTGCTGAGTCCTTATGATATTAACGACTGTTTTTAATTAAAGCATAGCTAAATATATATAATTCTTGAAATACGATTGACCTTGTTATTTACTTATTTGAACAGTTCAAACGTGAATCACTGATAGAATTCGGCTGCTCAAGTGACAATTCGACAATGTCATCCACTCCGATCCCTCTGGCGTAACTTTATTCTTATTTTTGTTACAATTATCGCGTCCCCTACCACTTCTATTCCCTCCACGACCTCCATTAATGTTTGTCTCCCTTCTTGCTCGTTGATCCAAAGTATGCGGGGTTTTCGATGATAGCATGTCAGCCAAGATTCGACAATTTAACGGATTCTCAAGTCTTGGAAGCTTCATACTATTCTTGAATCTTCGTCCCTCAAGCATCAGTATTTGATAATTTGAGCAAATTTCTGTAACGGGTTCACTGCTGTGTATGGAGATGTGGACAGAGGAATGTGCGCTATCATGTGACCAGGTGGGTGTCTTGATCAATGGCCGATGTTCGGTTAAAGAAGATTCGAGAAACCCGAGAGGTACAAATTATTTTTCTCCACACCCAGTCCTCCGAGCTTCAATTCTTTGATATTACTCCAAACAACTTTCTGCCAATTACTTTCTACTCAAACTTTAAATACCCTCAAAATGGTGAGTGAGCTGTTCAATTTACTTGCGCCTTGAAGACTTCATAGTTCGGGGCGGTTTCAATTCTTATAAAACCTACAGAGCACTTTGGCTTTCCCTCTGTATTATATTTGCTGATGATCATTCACATTGCAGTCTACCGCCCTCAAGTCCATCAAGTCCCTCGCTCCTCTCCTCGACCGTGTCTTGGTCCAGAGAATTAAGGCTGAGACTAAAACCGCCAGCGGTATCTTTCTCCCAGAATCGAGTGTCAAGGAGCTCAACGAGGCTAGAGTTTTGGCTGTTGGTCCAGGAGGTTTGGACAAGGATGGAAAGAGAGTTAGCTGTAGCGTGCAGGCTGGTGACAAAGTTTTGATTCCTCAGGTAAGCTCGATGGGTGTGTGGTAGATGAGGCGGGAGGTTCCAAAGGTGTTTGTTTGCTTGGGGTCATTCTTGCAGATGAGGTGGATAGCTGCAGCATGGATCAAGAACGAGGGTGTCGGAAGTTATGGAACATATGGACAATTGAGCTGCGCTGACTAGGAGTAGTACGGAGGATCGCCAGTCAAGGTTGGAGAAGAGGAATACTCTTTGTTCAGAGACCATGAGTAAGTACAATGTCCTTTGCGCATTCTCCTGCCCGCGGAATACGTTACTGACATTAGCTACAGTATCCTTGCAAAAATTAACGAATAAATGCTTTCACGATATGACGAGTTGATGGAGGGTGTACCATAAATGTATTAAATCGAGCATAGCGGACAAAGAAAAAAGATATCAAGTAAAAAGGATGTTGGAAAAAACATGTCGATGAACTGGCCTAATACTAAGGGGCTCAAGGGGACGAAGTTTTTGTGTATACCTTGACCTCCGCCGGTGGATTGCCGTGCATGAATTTAAATGAATCTCTTCTCCTCCAATGTCAAAGTGTTTCGGAGTACGATTTTGTTCGCAATCCAAGGGATTGTGTATGCATCGGACATTTATTCGCAGGCATTGAAAGTCATGTCGTGCTTGTGTTAGAGGATGATTCCCGTATTATGGTTCCTTTTGATGCAATTTGCAATGAGTAGTGAGCGATATGGCAAAGGAGACCCCTGATGGACATGCAAAAGGTGCATGACAATTTATTGCGGCTGTAAAAATGCAGGTGTAACTTTTGGGTACTTGGGCAGTTAGGTAAGTGATATATGGGTAATTGGCGTTTGTTTCTCAGGCCAAGGAAAGGGGCCGTTTTCTGAAACCAAACGAAAATGTTTTACCGCCCTGCTCAATTTCTCGAGGAAAACGGAGAACCAATGAATGGTGTTGTCATACATGTAATAAATATTCCTCCAGCTGCGCCTTTGACCCTACTACTTCATGTCCGCATTGTTCCATGGGTCATTTTGTAGGTTATAGGATTGATGTGCATTGTGTAGATGATAGGATTGATACATTTCCTTTTTAGCATGCCAGTAGTTTGGTCTGTCTCTGAATCGAAACACCAGAATAAATAAAAAGTAAATTCTTACATGCTTGTATCACAAAATACGGTTTCTCAATCACTAATAATCTACTTTTGGTGAATGAATGGTTAAACCGTTGAAGTGAATAGGAGATTCGAGCCCATAAACGAAAAGTTCGTCGTATGGAAACAATCACAATATAAACGACTATTGTTTCTGTACAATAGCACACCAAATCCTTCTTTTTCTTATTAGCCAGTACTTTTTTGAATCATCACGATTCTGTTTAACTTTCATTCACAGCACCACACTCCTTTGGTTCTTTAGAAAAGGATCCTCTGCTTTGCAATTGTTTGTCTCACTTCTTCTCACATACTACCCACAAACATCGGTACAAAATTCAAAACTGTTTATACACCTTCTCCAGAAGTTGATCTTTCGAGGAAACATGAATCTATCTCTTTTCACACTCGCCCTGGTGGCATGTTACTCTTCTCAGCTGGTAGCTGCGCACACAGTCTTCACGACACTTTTTGTAAACGATGTATCGCAGGGCGATGGAACATGTGTGCGCATGCCCTCGGATCCTAGCACGGCTACATTCCCCATCAACGATTTGGATAGTGATTCCATGGCGTGTGGTCAGTTTTTTCCTTATGGTGAGATGTATTGAAGGGTGCTGATGATTAGGATAGGATTCAATGGGACTCGAGGAGTCGAGCGTGTCTGCGCGGTTAATCAAACGGCGAAATTGAGCTTCTTGTTTCGAGAGTATGCCGATGGTTCCCAGGGAGGCGCCATCGATCCGAATCATAAGGGTCCTTGTGCGGTGTATATGAAGCGTGTGGCTTCGGCTATTAATGATACGGCCGTGGGTTCTGGTAAGTGTTTTGCTTTTTTTCTTCTTCTTGGATTTCTGAAAGCGGGAAGCCTAGGTGTCTTTTTGTTTATGTTTCTTAGCAAAACTAACTTGTCTATAGGCTGGTTCAAAATCTGGGACGAAGGCTACGATAACAGCGCACAGAAATGGTGCACCGAGAAGCTTATCCAAAATAATGGCTACCTCTCCGTCAACATCCCCAGCGATCTAGCAGGTGGATATTACCTCGCTCGGCCCGAACTTCTTGCCCTCCATCAAGCTGATAAGACCCCTCCAAACCCTCAATTCTACACCGGCTGTGCACAAATCTACCTCGATTCCACCGCAACCGCCGTCCCAAAAGATACAGTCAGCATCCCCGGCTACGTCAACATCCACTCCCCATCCGTCCTCTACAACATCTGGAATCCCCCACCTACACCCTACACCATGGCAGGACCCGCGCCCTACCAACCCGGCATCTCCAGCATCTCCAACACCACCGGTAGCAAGGCCGCGAAATTCTCAGCCTACACTGCGAAGCAGAATGAAGGGCTTCTACCGCAAGATACGGCAATCACGAATGCTAATTGGTGGGGCGTTGAAGTCGTTGCGTATACCACCGAAGCAGGGTGCTGGGATGCGAGCGAGAATTGCTGGAACCAGACGACAGTTTGTTATGATTGTGCGCCGCCGACGGGGGATAAAGGGTGTCGGGCGTGGGAGGCGCATTGTGAGGATATTCAGAAGGGGTGTAAGGGGGGAGATTTTACAGGGCCGCCTGTGCTTGCTAAGTTGGAGGGGGCGATGGCGTCGGCGACGATTGCGCCGGCGGCGGAACAGACAGGGGGTGTCTATGCGGCGGGCTCGACGGTGGTGAGTGCGGGGAGTTTGGGGACGAGTGAGGATGGGAAGTGTGGAGGTGGGAAGGGTCAGACGTGTAAGGGTAGTGCGTTTGGAGAGTGTTGTAGTCAGGTGGGGTATTGTGGGGGGAGCGAGAGTTATTGTGGGGTGGGGTGTCAGGGGGACTTTGGAGTTTGTGGATGAGTTTTGTTTGGTTGGCTGGGGTGGGTTGGAGAGGAGAGGAGAGGAAGAATGGGTTGGAAAGGGTAGATGAGAATGATATGATGGACTGGGCTTGAACAAACCGGAAGGGCTTTGTAGTGGAACATAGAATGGGAGAGGGTGGAGGAGGTACGATATCCTACGACGACTCTTTCCGTGCACTCTTGAGGGAATTTCTCATAGCATCTGCATTTGTATTTAGGCCTGGGTTTCAGTTTCAGTTCCAGTTTACTGGCACACGACGACGCAATTTTCGAGAATAGAAAGGATAGGATAGAATAGATCGAGCAGGTTTCGATACTCTTTCCTATACGATGAAGAAGATTCAGATTTAGATTACATGATGGAGATTGGAGATTAAGAATAAGAATAGAACATTCTATTCTATACATTCATTCTATATCTATCCTCTTTAGATCTTAGATTTTAAACCTAGAATACGTAATATCAGCTTTAAATACGAATTACGAATTTCAAATATGGAAAGAAATATGAAGATAAAAGATACATATAGAAAATACTCATTATATTATTATTTCTTAGGACATCTTATTAATTTTTAATAAACAAGATATTAAGTATAAAGTAGACCTTTATTTAACATATTCTTTATTAAAATCGAATGTCGTTTATTTTATAATGGAAATTAAACCTTTTTTTTCACGAAACGAAAAGTATATATTCTTATATATTTATTATTTTTTGAATAAAATATTGCATTAAAATTTTATTTAAATTTTCTA